ATATATATACTCCCCTTTATTACTTTTCAACCCCACCATCCTCTCCCTACTTGGAGTAAATTAGTGAACAACAATGCCCAGGCCTCTACTTCCGGTCTATACTTACTATCTACACCTTATGGACAGAGTTAATTTTACAATAATTCTATTATATATATATATATATATATATATATATATATATATATATATATATATATATAATTAATTTTTTGCTCCTGAACTTCTTCTACTCTCAACCTCTCCGATCATTTTCATGATGTCCATCCGGTTTGCTTCTATATGCCATATCTTTCTAACTGTGCTCTTTCCCAAAAGCTCCCAACATACAACCTATATACTTATTATGGACACAGTATGCTTACATTATTAGCTATCTTTGTTATTATTTGTTGTTATTTGTTATTAGTCCCATCCTTCAACTCTATTCAATACCTCCCATCTATCTCTTAACACCATCCATATAGGATTTCTTCGACCTCATGGCTTGGTTTTTGCTCTGACATGCAGTGTCAACTGTGGGACCTTATATAGACAGGTGTGAGCCTTTCCAAATCATGTCCAATCAATTGAATTTACCACAGGTGGACTCCTATCAAGTTGTAGAAACATCTCAAGGATGATCAATGTAAAAAGGATGCACATGAGCTACATTTCGAGTCTCATAGCAAAGGGTCTGAATACTTATGTAAATAAGGTATTTTTATTTTATATACATTTGCAAAAATGTCAAAAAATCTGTTTTCGCTTTGTCATTATGGGGTATTGTGTGTAGATTGCTGAGGAAAATGTTTTATTCAATCCATTTTAGAATAAGGCTGTAACATAACAAATGTGAAAAAAGTCAAGGTGTCTGAATACAGAGATATAAGAGATATAAAAATGGTTGATTCAATGTATATAAACAAAAAGTCCATTGACAGAACCAAGACATAATATAGTTAAATTTTTTCATTCATTGGTTGATTCTCCTGCATTCCAAGATCGACAGAGGCGTCAACACTAGATTACTTAAAGGGTGCACAGTTTTGAAGCCAGAGTGCCTCCATCTTGGCACTCCCCCACCAGTGTAAAAAATATTTAGGAAGCTATAGAAATGCATTTGTTAATGTCTACATTTGTTTTTGCCACATGTATTATGTTACAGACACCTTAATGCATACTTTTAAATTATATTATGTGAGCTAAACATAAAAATATATATATATATATATGTATATATAAAAACATTTTCCTTAAAGTGTGATTTTGAGAAAGTTATAATGTTACTTAAATACATGTAATTGTTTCCTTGAAACATTTAATTGAAATACTGTAGAAATGGAGGGGACTGCTCCTTCTGGGGAGTGACAATATGGCCGACTGGAGGCTTCAAAGATCACACTGGCCAATACACAGCATCTTCAATCCAGGGTTTATATACAACATTGGTCTGTCCACACATGACATTGTCATTTGAAATCTTAGTGTAAATTCTACATACATAGAGGACAGACACCACCAAGTGGTGCATTTTAATCATGAAATGTAGGCCTACTTTTGCCCCAAGAGGGAGCACTTTACATAAAAATGTGTAATCCATGTTGAGAGTTTGGTAAATAAATTGTCCTTATCAGTTACTGACTTGGGGTTTTGTGACACTTCATCATGCCATTACATTATACCTCATGTAATGATTGCAGTGGAGTTACTGGAATATTGCATGAAACATCAAACTAAGAAAGCACAACAATAATCCAATTAATTGGGGGTTATTTCATGAGAAGGTCTCTAGGTCTCTACTGGAATACACCAGTATTATAAACATATTTTCTCAAATTACATGTCAAATGACAAACCTGTCACAAGGCATGATTCTGCATTTGAAGTTCACATTGATTAGTTCCTTACTCACTTGGAGAGGATGACATGTTATTCTAAACAAAAATATTTCCAGAGAATCACCCACTAAATCTGACTTCATTAGGACAAATGCTGCCTCTATAGATTTTAACGACTCTCCGGAAAACATGTGAATCTGAAATCTCATGAGAATTCTGCCCTAATTCGGTAGGCAAAGCTGCAGCCAGCAAAACCGCCAAGGCCAATTGATTGGCTGCAATAAATCCACTGACATTGCAAAATTAAGGCTAAAGGCCCATGGGTAAGGTTTGTACAGCATGAGTCACTGTTTTAGGACACAGTGAATGACAAGGTGAGGATTTGATGAGCCTCTAAAGTAGGACAAGTGCAGCTTTGCGAGGAGCACATTAAATGTGGATTGGAACAATACACTTGAGTTAAAATACTATAAGGGTATTTCAACGACATTTGGAAGTACGATTTTTTATATGTTTTATTTGAAAACACAAGTAGTTGAATATTGGAACGTATTTGTTAATACACTTGGAAAGTATTGGCACACTTGAAAATACTCAAATACACTGTGTATTTTCAAATAAAAATAAAAATACTCTTGGTCTTTTGAACGCAGGTCTGTTTGGTATTTGAAATAATGTATTTGGAAATAAGTATTTGAAATATTTTCAAATAGTAGGCTTTTTATAGGTCATTTTTGAAAATACTTGAAAAAACTTCCAATAGAAGTAGTTGATTTGGGCCAGATTATTTGAGAATACTCAAATACACAGAAAACAGGTATCTAAATAACAAATAAAAAAAATTGTCCTACACATGTATTTGAACTCAGGTCTGGAAACAAACGCGACTCAAACTCAACGAAGACAAACACTACCAGGAGGAAAATAGTGAAAGAGTATAGGAGGTGAACTCAGTTGAGTTTCCCCCCAAATTTGCTATACTGGTGTTAGAAATGGGATTGCGCTGCTGGGAGGCTGTTGAAAGTGTGTCCCATCGGGACTTGCACGTTCCAAAGGAAGGGGCAGAGATGAGCAGTATTTCTGTTACATGTATTTGAAATATGTATTTCAATTACTTCTGAGTATTATTTGTAATTTGTATTACACTGGGCTGAACTACACTCTTAGGTATTTTGTAACAAGATGCTTTAGAGAGCTGTAATTTATATTTTCAAAATACAAAATACTTGTGTGGCCCCCTCTCACCTTGCATTGGTATCAGAAGTCTGATAGCACTATGGTGTGATAAGAGCATCTACTAAATAAACGAAATATAATTATATATGTAAAAATGGACAATTGCAAAGCATGCTGAGTATTATTCTAATGACCTCTGCCTGACACTAGACCAATAATAATAATACCCAGAGTGCTTTGCAGTTCATTCTGGTATGTTCATTTTCATATATAAGATTACATTTTGGTCATTTAGCAGACACTCTTATCCAGAGTGACTTACAGTAAGTGCATTCAATTAAGGTAGATAAACATCACATATCACAGTTATAGCAAGTAAAACTTTTCTGTAACCGTTACTGAGAATGTTGTTGCTGTACGGGCCAACTACTTAAAAATGTAGGCTTCTTTCCTATTTTAAAATACATGTATTTTTATTAAATACTTTTCAAAATACAAGGATTTTATAGGTTATTTTGACACATTGATCTTTATGGTATTTGTAATTGTATTTTGTAATTTTTGTCCATCCCTGGGAAGGTGATACTTTAACGACCAAGAGGTCCACCTTCTTGGTGTAATAAAGTATTCGACTGACAGTCGCATGGAACCAAGTTCCAATTCACTGCAACACCAAACCTCTAAATTCATTCTCCCAGATAATATTGTTTTTCACACATTGCCCTGTCAGAGAAAGAAGATGGAAAACTTGAGCCTCTTTGGCCCTGAGTACCGTACATCCTAAATAATCTATCGTGTACTACGTAAACATAAATAAAACATACATTTAATCGAGCAAAATTGTAGTTCTGGGTTAACCGAGGTTACGTCCTAACAGCAGCAAATTAGTCCATGTTCTCTGGGCAGACGAACTACATATCCCAGAAGGCAGTAGAGAAACGTTGTCCCTCTCCAACTAACTAACTAGGTACTTTCGAACTGTCTGTCTGTGTTTTATGAGAGTGCTGCTAAACTGTAACATGCCAAATGTTGATCTCCTTGAGTGATGGTAACACTTTTTTTCTAGCATTAATGGAAGACTGAGGAGCGCAGCGACGGACATCTAATCTTTATCCTGCATCACAACTGTCTGTTGATAGAGAGCGAGTCTGTTTGTTTAGCTAGCTAACTAACCATCTCTTCCGTGGAATCTCGGATTAGAAAGCTAGCTAGATAGTTAATTTAGCACCAGTGGAAAAAGTTACTCGAGGGAGCTAACGACAACGTCGGCTGGGGTAATGGGTCTGCTGTCTTGAAACATATTAGCTTCGAATACGATGCCTGGCTTGCTGGCTAGGATAGGAACTGGATAGGAAGGTAAGTAAGGCTACTAGTACAGGAGCTAGCTAACGTTATCTATCTCAAATCACTGAGACACTGCTAGTTAGGGCTGGAAACAAGTTGGCAAGTTCGACAGCTAACGTTAGCTAAGACAGTCATTTGCTAGAGTACACTGCCGGTTATCAAACTAGCTATATGCCGTACAAAGTTAGTGTCATGCTATGTTTTGTTTATTTGTGGACAGCGACAATGTGATGCAGTGATTTTGCTACGGAATTCCCCACGGCAGTAACGTAGCCCGCTAGCACACTGCGATATCGCTTGCACAATCGGCCCTTTGAATTAACTGTGGACTTTTTGGACTGTTGATGTCTGTGAAATCCATTACACAGGGCACAACCTAGACGTCAAGTAAACAAACATTAGTGATACTGATGCAAATAGTTGAACAACAGTGGAAATCTGAATAAGTGAGACCAGAGAGAACTCACTGAAACTGAGCAGCAAATCACAGATTGACGCTCACTCCTTGCGCCCTTGTCCAATAACTTTCAATGGCAATTAAAACTTGAAGACTGGGTCCATCTACATACCATATTCGGTTGGAGATTCATAAGGTGTTAGAAGTAAAGAGAAGAACATTCTCCCATTTGTGCCTCATTTCAGACTCGAATACCTACTGCCATGGAGGGGGTAGGTGGGGGAAATTTGCAGAAAGTCACTCCTTTAGCTAGAGAATTATCCCGGATCTTCAACAGCTACAATAAACACTCCATACAACTGAAAAAGAATCTGAAGGAGACCAACGCATTTTTCCGGGAAATAAAACGCAACTACAGTAACGCCTGCGCATCGGCCGCCAGCTCGGAGGCAGCTGCTCTGGAGGCAGGTAAGAATGTAAACCTGTTCAAATTTGTTACCTATAATTACCGCTTTTCTCGGCATCATCACAACAGAATGTTCAGTAAAACTCCCACATTCCTCAGAAAACGTCATGCTTATTCAAACATGCATAGCTAACTAGACCATATTAAATGGTTAGGTTGTCACATCATGTCACACACACTTCAGTACTTGAGGTTACATTTATCCATGCAGCTACAGTACTAGCATTATAATATGCCTGACACTGAAGGACCCTGTCTGATTATTTTACATTCTACAGACTGCCTTCATTGAGAGCCACCACTCAACAAGTTTTGGAATGTGCTCATTGGTTCCAGTGTAAAACCCTATTAACTTTAGACAAGCCCCATAAACATATCAGACTCAAGCATAGGAATGTCTGTCATTCTATAATGAGTTTGAGTGGAAACTCTTCTGATTGTGATCAAGGAGGACTGAATTAGGTACAGCAGACTCTGCACATCCCATAATGTTCCAATTAGGAATGTGCTGCTGACGTCAGGCAATTCCTGAAGGGCCACAGGTTTCTGACCTGTAATCCATTCATATACAGTGGTGGGATGGCATTAACAGGTGGATTGTTAATAGCTAAACTGTCTTCTGAATGGGAGTAATGAGGTAGTCTAAATTCCCCCACAGGAAAAAAAAAGACTGTTCTTTGCCCGGAAAGAGATTTACTTGGCAACACATTGACGGTAGAAAATGCATTAAATAGGATTTAGAGGGAAAAATTAAGAGATTAGGGCCAGCTAAAGTCTTTCTCAACAGTATGACCTGACAAAAGGCACCCAGTATGCTGAGATTCCCGCTTAAGAAAGAACTGAGGCTAAAAATGTATGCACTCACTAACTGTAAGTCGCTCTGGATAAGAGCGTCTGCTAAATTACTAAAATGTAAAATGTAAAACGAAGCATGTACTGATGATGAATAACATATAAGTAGGTTATATATCCACTTGCTGTAAGCCATCCTCATTTCATCCTATTTTCAACTCTACACTAGTCACTGCACTAGTTAATTTGGGGATTGCCTGACTTCGAGATGTGTGCGGGCTGATGAGCAGAGTGTGAGTGTGATTCTCACATTCCTGTTTAGGAGATGTGAGTTCTTTTGAGCCACTGTCTAATAGGGCTGTCATTCAAGCCCAACCTTCCTGTCCACTAAGGTATGTTTGTGGGGTTAGTGTCTCCACTACACACATTTACACACACATTTACCAATAATATTTAAACATCCTCAATCTAGTGCATCTAGAATGTAAAATTTCATGTGAAAGCAAATCTAACCTTATCCTTTCCATCAAGTAGGGCTATACATATCTTTCAGTCTAACAACAAACCACATAGTGGTTGTCATGCCAGATGACATGCTTCAAGCTCTAGTAACATGCTACAAAATGTGACCAGTCATCACTGAACGGAAAGTGCAGCTGTTTAGCCTAATTCCAAGTGGATGTTTTAGCCTATAGGCCTATTTTTATACAAAACCTTATTAGTGTTCGAATCCAGGCTCTGTCGTAGCCGGCCGCGACCGGGAGACCCATGGGGCGGCGCACAATTGGCCCAGCGTCGTCCAGGGTATGGGAGGGAATGGCCGGCAGGGATGTAGCTCAGTTGGTAGAGCATGGCGTTTGCAACGCCAGGGTTGTGGGTTTGATTCCCACGGGGGTATGAAAAAAACAGTCACCGCCTTTAGAATCACACACACACACACACACACACACACACACACACACACACACATATGGTCTTTCTGGCCTCAATTAAAAACCTTATAAATGCCATAGTTGTGATAAAATGAGCTGCCACCTCTTAAGCAAGGTGTCATAAGTGAACTTGAATACAATACCAAATTAGATGTAGACAACAGTACAGTAGGTATCTTTTTAAAAATGAATTTACTGTGGTTCAATCATTCATTGTATTATAAAGCCTACTGCGTGCAAAATGTTTTAGGCCAAACACCATGCAGAGAAATACCAGATTAACAGCTGCAGAGGAAACAGAGTGGCAGAGTGGAGAAAGAGGGAGTGAATATAATGGGTGGGGAGGGAAAAAGAGAACCAGAGTAGAGTAGTCCATTGCTGTCTTTGTCTGTTGTATAACTGCTTTAGACCGTGACTCCGCATCATGGAGGATTATGACCATTTCCTGTAATGAACTTAGGTTGAAGATGACAAAGGTTAAGACAACTGTATTCTAATATCCCATAACTCTTTGCAACAATGGGGAAGAATTCTAAACAATGGGACTAGCAATGCGAGCGAAAATTACTGGAAGGGAATCTTAGCAGTACAGAAAGTTTGCCATCAAAGTGGAAAATAAACACAATCATAGTGCATTTCAGCTAACTACTCAGCAAATACGTAGCATAACTGCTTTACTGTCATTCTAATCATTAAAACGTTTTTCTAATGATCTACAGCCACTTTACTACTTGATGTCCCGACAGCTGGTCACGTTTTCTATGCTAATCCTGTAGAATCAGCAACGGCGCTGGTCCAATTATTATTATTGTTATTTTTTGAATGCTCCCACATGGAATTATTATGTTGTCTTAACCTGTATATTTTCGACCTAGTGATGAACCAGGATGAATTGGTTGTGCTGTTAATATGGATTGCCACAGAGATGGGTCAGGACATAACAGACAAGGGCTTAAGGAGGGGCTTTGAAGTAAACACAATAGATTCTCCCTCAGGCCTTTCCTATGCCAGAGGTGCAGAGACAGAGAGATGCCAGACACCAGTTCACAACAGGTTGTTATTTCTCTATTGCAAGCCAATCCGTTGGAATTTGCACACATTCAAAGTGGGATGTTAGATGGTGTTATAACATTACATTGTATTATCAATTTATTCAGATTTTTACTAGGCCTAATACCTGAAGAAAAAGGCTTCTTCATTAACCCTCAGAAGGGAGAGGGACAACAGATCAAGCCCCCCCCTGACCACCATTACTATTCCCTGTTCCCTTCTATACACCCACATGTTGTTGTCCCTTCTCTTCCTAGGCCAGCTGAGCTGCATCTCCTTCCCCCGGCATGAGGAGGAGTTCCTGCAAAGCAGCGTGGGCAGCGCCCCCTACGTCCTGGTACTTGGTCAGGACTGTGCCGCGCGTTACCAGCTGCTCAACTGCCTGCTGGGGGAGCGGCTCTTGCCCCTGGGGCCAGAGGCGGGCGAGGCCTGCGATGGCGTCCAGGGCACCGCCTGCAAGAGGAGGAAGCTGTGCTTCACCCACGGGCGCCAGACGCGACTTAGCCTAGCGTTGCCCGGCCAGTATGAGCTGGTGCACCAGCTGGCGGCCCACTGCGGGCGCTGGGATACGGTTCCCCGGGAGGACCTGGAGATCCAGGAGGAGTGTGAGGACCCCGCCCACAGGCTGGCCGAGTTGGAGATCACCCTGCACCACCCTCTGCTACAGGTATACACACACATACATTTGCATATGTGAGGAGGATTCCGATGGTGGGAGTCTTGTTGATGTATTTGCAATGTAAGCCTACACAAAGCACATAGTAACAGGAGAAATGGTCAAGGGTCCTTTTACTTATTGGTATGCTCATTGACGTTACAGCATTGATTTGATAAATGCCTGATTTGTTGGCGCGCTTGAGAGTGAGTCTTTGAGTTTTTGACTTTGATTGATGATACTGTCATCTCACTGATGATATGTTAGTTCTCTCTCTTATGGGAACTAGAAGGGTAGGCTTGTTTTTCGTCTTTCTCTCCAGGCTGGAAACATTACTCTCACACGTGGCTTAGCTGACACAAAGGTTACTGCACAGAGTAGATCAGTCCCCATGTTAGTCAGAGCTCTCCCTCTCTGGTGCCTGTGGCACCAGAGGACTAGTGGACTTACAGAGGACTAGTGGACTTGTCTACCAGGTGGACAGACATAGCCCATCTTGCTCGGCTGACTAACATGCCTTGGTGTGTGGATTGCACTGTGCTCGCTTGTTGTCACGTGCGGGTTGAGAAAAGTAGCACTTAATCCTTCAAACAAAGGCCTCGCTTAGCTGGTCGCCATGGAAGCCAGGCTCCAGACAGCCCTGAGACGTACGCGTTAGCGAGGCCCTGCCTGCACTGCTTTGTAGGCCGCCGCCCACCCCCACCTTACGTAATGGCCCTGGTCTGGTGCGATTCACATGACCGGGGCACATAAGGAAAAAAACTTCCCAAGTTAAACCCTTCACTGCGATGAGGAAGTTGCCATGGTTACGACTGGATCCTTCCCGCAGGGCACTATTTATTAGCCCATGTCATAGTTTGCCGCCTTTCAGTGTTTTGCCAAATTCATTATGATAGCAAGCTTATTATTTGGAGCACAAAAAGCTGATATCAGGTTGCCCTGTCCTTGGGTTTTGTCGTTTTTGTGTTAAATTGGCGAGGCAGGATTCTGAGTGTGAATGGAGTAGTGACGGCGCCAGTGTAAGTCAATATGTGATGACCTATGTGATTACTCACACATTAAATAAGTCTTATGAAGTGGTGCTCCCTTACCCATCTTATTTTTCCTGTTTTGTTTTCAGGTAGGCTAAACAGGGAGATATTGTTTACGCAATGATTAAAGAGACCTTACCTGAGAAGCTGTAAAATTCAGGCTGGTATGTAATGTTTCTGATGCTTGTCAACCTGATTCATCTTGTCATGATAATGCAAATGCATGTGCCAGGTTAGGTAGGCTAGGCTATGGTTTATTTAGTCAGAGCAGTAGTTCAGAGAGATGCACCCAGCTGCTGCTGTTTACTCAGGGGGGCTAGAGGCAGGCAGGCAGGGAAGCAGCTCTCAGCCAACTGTGACATTCACACAGCCATGGCAGAGTCAGAGCGCCCCGTTTTGGGAGGCCAGGAGATAAAAGGGTTAACTCTCTAATTACCTTCCCCTCCCCACCCCTGGGCTCCCCACTCCTCTTTTTCCCAAGTTAGCCACACAATGACACACATGACTGGGATAGTGCTAACCTATGTATGGATGCATTTCTCAGATAACCTCCCCGACATCAGTCTGCCACAAGTTCATATAGCCTAGAATGTCATGCTTGTTTTTTAACAATGGGTCGAGACATCTTTAGCATAGACTCTCCAAGAATGCTATTATTGGATCATACCATTTGAAGGGACAAACATTTATTAGGAACATTAGAAGTTCGAAAGCTTTTTAGATGTGTTTCTATATCTAGAGAATGTTTTCGACTGAGAAGAAAACATCTATTGGTATGCAGATTGTGGGTTGCTACCGTCCATTATTGTCTGATATAGGGGTAAATCCATTTGAATTCAATCACTTTTTGACAGCCTCCCTTTATTATTATAATAATAATAATAATACTTTTGGGGGGGTGCTTATATTTGTCCTGTTACTCAGTGTGTAATGGAAATGTGTTTTTTTGCATATCCCAACTCCCCCTGAGACACCCGCAGGGAGTGGGGTCACAGCCAGGGTCGTCATTGTGGAGCAATTAGGGTTAAGTGCTTTGCTCAAGGGCACTGCAACAGATTTTTTCACCTTGTCGGCTCCGGTATTCGAACCAGCATCCTTTTTGATTTAAACAAAACTTTCCATACATGTTTGCCCATGAAAGAAGTGGTCAGAAAGTGACTTTTTGGACCTGAATGCCAAAATATTCAGGAGATAAAGGTGCTCAAAGTTGACCCGTTTTCCATACCCCACCATACTATGAGACATCCATGTCTTCATCACTGGAAAAGATAAACGGTTGAGTTTGATATCATTTAAAATCTTACAAACAGTGTTGTCAAACTATTTTATAATTTCTTTAATTTTATTTAAAAAAAAAATAAAGTTATGGAATTGTTTCACCTTTAACGTCATTATCTAAAAACTTGTAAACTCCGTTTTTTTTTCTTAATATTTGCACATGTAGCTTAGACCCTACTTTACATAATAAGAGGTTTTTTGTTTCACCTGCCATCGGTTGAGACACAACATGCTCTTGAATACAGTGTGGGTGTAATTTCAATCATAGAAATATAATTCATAGAATGGACCTATCCCGTTAGACCACTGCAGTTTAGCTGGCACACTATTGAAATACAAATGTAATTGACATGTAAACTTCTAATTACTACCACGAAGATGGCCGCCGGTCATGTCTATTCTATTATTTATATTTTCTATGATTTCAATAGGTTTCCTATGGAGGTTTGACAGTATAATTTAAAACAACAGATATTCCCATTCAAGTCAACATTCTCTGATGTGTGGACCTCCAACCATCTTTGAAATGTAAATGTTATTTCCATTTTAATAAATGTATCAGCCAAAACATGACACCCACCCTGTATTCAAGAGTATTTTGTGTCTGAACCGATGGCGGGCAAAACACAAAAACCTCAGATGACGGAATATACGGTTATGAGAATATGAAGAAAAAAATCTGAGTTTACGCGTTTTTAGATAGTTGACGTTTAAGGTTAAAAAATGCAATGTTTTATTAACATATTTTCAAAAAATTATAAAATAGTTTGACAACCCTGTTTGTAAGCTTTTAAATGATATCAATCTTAACTGTTAATATTTTCCAGTGATGAAGACATGGATGTCTCATGGTATGCAACATTTTAGCACCTTTATCTCTTTAATGTTTTGGCATTCAGGTCAAAAAAGTCACTTTCTGAGCACTTCTATAATGGGCAAATCTGTATAGAAGGTTTTGTTCAAATCAAAAGGGGTGCTGTCATTTTACCCATAGGGGTGATACAATATTCTTCAAAATATCCCATAGATATTCAGCTGTTGGACTACATTTGGAAATTGACTGCATTATGGCAATTCAAACATTCTATTTATGTTTGAATGGTTGTGAAGAAATGTTTGCAGGCTATCTTTGTTCTAAAGAGACTGCTCAGTTGGCCACAGCTCTTGTTACTTGGAGACAGGACTGACTGTCTCCTTTGTGTGGCTGTGTTAGTCATTTCTCTCTCTCTCTCTCTCTCTCTCTCTCTCTTACACTCTGCCCCCCCCCCCCCCCCCCTCCCTTCCTCTTCCTCTTTCCCTCTCACGCTCTCTTGTTCTATTTCTGTGGCTGTTACTGTGTAATTCATCAAACGTGGAGTGAAAATGTTTTCTTGCTTAGTTTTCTGTTGCCCTCCCATACCCTTTCCCATGACCAGACAGGTCTGTGTGTGTTTGTGTTTATGGGGGATGGCACTGGCAGCACATACTACGTCTGAGTTTCCTGTCTCTGACTTTTCTCATTCGTCTATGTCCCAGTTAGAAAAACAATAATGTGACTGGTAGTAGTATATGTGGGAGCCAATTGGGACTGGAGAAATATTGTGTACTCCCCTGCACCCTGCATGTTTACTCAACCTAGGAATCTTTTTATTTAAAAAACGCCCTATTAACACATGTTGCTGTTTCCTTTTTTTCCCCCCTCTTTTCTTTGAAATCTTTTTTTATAAGCTTTTTTTAATTATACAGATAACACAGACAGAACAGGTAGAGGGCAAAACACACTTTGATCCCCTACCAAATCAACCCCCCCTGCCCCACCCCAAAACCAGACTTAAAGCATGCATGATATACAATTAGTAATATAATCAAAAAGTAAAAAAAAAAAAAAAGATATTATAAAACAAAAGTAAAAAAAATAGTTAAAATAGTGATACAAATTCTAATATGGGTTGGTTTATGGAGTTGTGAAATTAGCTGGGTCCATGTCTTCTACAAAGGATAGGAAAGGTTGCCAGATATTATAAAATGTAATTGCAGATCCCCTAACGGAGTAGCGTATTTTCTCTAGCTTGAGATGTTGCATAACTTCCTTTATTTAATGTTTAAAAGTAGGAGGAAACCGATCCTTCCACTTAAATAGTATAAGACGTCTAGCTAGAAGAGTAGTAAATGCCAGCATGTTGCCCATAGAACTGTTTAGACGGGCCTCCTGTGGTGCCACTCCGAAAATGCAATAAAGACAGAAGGTTCTATAGGTCTCTCCAGTATCTTAGAAAACGTCTCAAAAATTGATATCCAGAAATCTGTCAATTTCAGGCATGTCCAAAACATGTGCAATAAAGTAGCAGGAGCCCGCTTACATCGGTCACAAGTGGGATCTATTTCTGGTCTAATTTTGGATAATTTTGCCTTTGACCAATGCAGCCAATGAACTATTTTAAATTGAATTACAGTCTTAGACATATATATGAATAATGTATTCTCTGAAGCATACTCTGCCAAATTTCATCTGAAAGTTGTTCACCTAAATCCTCTTCCCGTTGGTTCTTAAGAGAGTTCAGGGAATCCAGATTATGCGAGTTTAATAACGTTGTCACGGTCGAGGTAAGGAGTAGACCAAGGCGCAGCGTGATGAACAAACATGACTTTAATTAGTTAAAGCACGAAACAAAACAAGAAACGACTCGTGACGTCCACGGTATCAATGACCGAACACGGAACAAAAACCCACAACCACAAAGGGAAAACATACAGTTTAAATATGGCTCCCAATCAGAGACAACCAGCCAACAGCTGACACTCGTTGCCTCTGATTGGGAGTCACTCAGGCAAACATAGAATACAACAAACTAGAATGAACACCAACATAGAAATACACACATAGAAATGAACACACCCTGGCTCAACATAATGAGTCCCAGAGCCAGGGTGTGACAGTACCCCCCCCTAAAGGCGCGGACTGCGACCGCGCCTCAACTAAACAAACCAGGGGAGGGCTGGGCGGGCATACCTCCTCGGCGGCGGTTCTGGCTCCGGCCTTGACCACCACCCTCCAATACACCCCCCATAGTGCCCCTGGTCCAGTCTGGCCCCGCCGGCTGGAGCAGGACTGGACTTAACAGGAGCGATCCTTACCAGGCTGTCGACTCGCACCCCTGGCTTGGTGCGTGGAGGAGGAACGGGCCTTACCAGGCTGACGACTCGCACCCCTGGCTTGGTGCGTGGAGGAGGGACGGGCCTTACCAGGCTGACGACGCGCACCCCTGGCTTTGTGCGTGGAGGAGGAACGGGCCTTACCAGGCTGACGACTCGCACCCCTGGCTTGGTGCGTGGAAGAGGGACGGGCCTTACCAGGCTGACGACTCGCACCCCTGGCTTGGTGCGTGGAAGAGGGACGGGCCTTACCAGGCTGACTTCTCGCACCCCTGGCTTAGTGCGAGTGGCAGGAACAGGCCGGACCGGGCTGGCGACGCGCACCGTAGGTTTGGTGCGTGGAGCAGGGACAGGCCGGGCTGGGCTGTCGACGCACACCGTAGGCTTGGTGCGTGGAGCAGGGACAGGCCGGGCTGGGCTGTCGACGCACACCGTAGGCTTGGTGCGTGGAGCAGGGACAGGCCGAACCGGGCTGTGGAGACGGATAGGAGGCCTGGAGTGAAGAGCGGCCACCACCCGTCCTGGCTGAATGCCTACCCTCACACACTCTGTGTGAGGCATCCGCACAGGACGTACAGGGCGGTGTACCCCTGGCCTGGTGGCCTTCTGGATCCGCCCCCTTTTCTACTCCGTCAGCCCCGTCGTCCATGCCGTGTGCCCCCCCCTAAAAATTTTCTGGGGTTGCCTCACGACCGTCCGACGACGACCCTGATCACGCCGTAGCTCCTCTCTACGGCGCGCCTCCACCGTCTCTTCTCCCGGCACTTCCTCCCATGTCCAGCCCAAGAGCTGCCCCTGGACACGCTGCTTGGTCGTTGCATGGTGGGTTTTTCTGTCACGGTCGAGGTAAGGAGTAGACCAAGGCGCAGCGTGATGAACAAACATGACTTTAATTAGTTAAAGCACGAAACAAAACAAGAAACGACTCGTGACGTCCACGGTATCAATGACCGAACACGGAACAAAAACCCACAACCACAAAGGGAAAACATACAGTTTAAATATGGCTCCCAATCAGAGACAACCAGCCAACAGCTGACACTCGTTGCCTCTGATTGGGAGTCACTCAGGCAAACATAGAATACAACAAACTAGAATGAACACCAACATAGAAATACACACATAGAAATGAACACACCCTGGCTCAACATAATGAGTCCCAGAGCCAGGGTGTGACAAACGTATAGATCAAGCATATGCCCCCTTTGATATAAGGGTTCACTTTAAAAAATATAATCTAGAAGGGAGGTAGGTGGGCATGATGGGAAGTGACTAGAGTATGAAGATACAAAACTACGCAATTGTAGGTATCTAAAGAAATGGGATCTAAGAATATTGAACTTTTGTACTAACTGTTCAAAAGATGCAAAATCCATATCAATGTACAAGTCGTTCAGTGAGGAGATCTCTTTTCCAGACCAGATATGAAACGCCCTGTCTACTGTTTCCTTTATTTTGGCAGTTACCTGTAGGTGTTTTATTTTTCCACAACATTTATATACAGTTGAAGTCGGAAGTTTACATACACTTAGGTTTTCAACCACTCCACTAATTTCTGGTTAATTTCCAAACTATCGTTTTGGCAAGTCGGTTAGGACATCTACTTTGTGCATGACACAAGCAATTTTTCCAACAATTGTTTACAGACAGATTATTTCACTTATAATTCACTGTATCACAATTCCAGTGGGTCAGAAGTTTACATACACTAAATTGTCATGGCTTTAGAAGCTTCTGATAGGCTAATTGAAATCATTTGAGTCAATTGGAGGTGTACCTGTGGATGTATTTCAAGGCCTACCTTCAAACTCAGTGCCTCTTTGCTTGACATCATAGAAAAATCAAAAGAAATCAGCCAAGACCTCAGAGAAATTTGTAGACCTCCACAAGTCTGGTTCATTGTTGGGAGCAATTTCCAAACACCTGAAGGTACCACGTTCATCTGTACAAACAATAGTACGCAAGTATAAACACCATGGGACCACGCAGCCGTCATACTGCTCAGGAAGGAGACGCGTTCTGTCTCCTAGAGATGAATGTACTTTGGTGCGACAAGTGCAAATCAATCCCAGAACAACAGCAAAGGACCTTGTGAAGATGCTGGAGGAAACTGGTAAAAAAGTATCTATATCCACAGTAAAACATGTCCTATATCGACATAACCTGAAAGGCCACGCAGCAAGGAAGAAGCCACTGCTCCAAAACCGCCATAAAAAAGCCAGACAACGGTTTGCAACTGCACATGGGGACAAAGATCTTACTTTTTGGAGAAATGTCCTCTGGTCTGATGAAACAAAAATAGAACTGTTTGGCCATAATGACCATCGTTATGTTTGGAGGAAAAAGGGAGTGCTTGCAAGCCAAAGAACACCATCCCAACCATGAAGCATGGGGTAGCAGCATCATGCTGTGGGGGTGCTTTGCTGCAGGAGGGACTGGTGCACTTCACAAAATAGATTGCATCATGAGGAAGGAAAATGATGTGGATATATTGAAGCAACACCTCAAGACATCAGTCAGGAAGTTAAAGCTTGGTCGCAAATGGGTCTTCCAAATGGACAATGACCCCAAGCATACTTCCAAAATTGTGGCAAAATGGCTTAAGGACAACAAAGTCAAGGTATTGGAGTGGCAATCACAAAGCCCTGACCTCAATCCTATAGAACATTTGTAGGCAGAACTGAAAAAGCGTGTGTGAGCAAGGAGGCCTACAAACCTGACTCAGTTAAACCAGCTCTGTCAGGAGGAATGGGCTAAAATTCACCCAACTTATTGTGGGAAGCTTGTGGAAGGCTACCCAAAACGTTTGACCCAAGTTAAACAATTTAAAGGCAATGCTACCAAATACTAATTGAGTGTATGTAAACTTCTGACCCACTGGGAATGTGATGAAATAAATAAAAGCTGAAATAAATCATTCTCTCTACTATTATTCTGACATTTCACATTCTTAAAATAAAGTGGTGATCCTAACTGACCTAAGACAGGGAATTTTTACTAAGATTAAATGTCAGGAATTGTGAAAAACTGAGTTTAAATGTATTTGGCTAAGGTGTATGTAAACTTCCGACTTCAACTGTAAGTGTCGTTGAGCTGATGAGTGCTGCTATGACCATTTCAATGATAAAAGTATATTCCCTGCTCTGTCAGGAGGCGAAAATCATGGTGGTGCCGTGCCCCAGTGTCCAGCCCATCGAGGAGGCCCTGGAGGACTGTACGCGTAACGTGGTTCCCATCATGCTCTACGCCCTCAACCAGGACTCCCTCACTGCTGAGCAGGTGGCTGAGCTAATGAAAGTCAAAGAGATGCTCATCTTCCCCATTTGCTTCGTCCGTATCCCTGCCACCCCACCCGAGGCCTCCCCCGAGCCCAGCCGGCGCCTGGAGAAGGAGAAGGAGAGGGAGAGGAGCCCCCTCTACAAGCAGCTGCTGTCCCTGGGCTTCCTCAGCACTCCGGTGGGAAACTGCTCCTGCGGAGCCCCCTCCCAGACACCCAGCCCGGCCGTCAAGCCCCAGAGCGTCCTGGGGGAGGCCTTTGAGAGGCTGCACCGCCTCCTGGTGCCCTTCGCCCGCCAAGTGCTCCACAACCAGCAGGTGGAGGTTGCTAACCTGCTTAACGGGGTCCACTGCCGCTGCCTTGACCTCTTCATCAACCAGGTCAGTAGGGGGGCGGCTGTGTCTGTGGGAAATAATCAACCAATCAATTAGCTAATCAAATAAAATCTGTATAGCGTCACAAAATGTATAACAGAAACTTGTTTAATTTGAAGGCATGACTACAGTAGGGAGACATTACTCTGACTATGTAGTGGTAGTGGTGGCAGATGGACTTTTCCTCCTCTCCCTGGTTGCAGGCATTTGACATGCAGAGGGACCTGCAGATCACGCCGCGGCGGCTGGAGTACACACGGGAGAAGGAGGGCGAGCTGTTCACCTCCCTGATGGCCATCGCCAACCGCAAGCAGGAGGAGATGAAAGAGATGATCGTGGAGACGCTGAGCAGCATGAAGGAGCAGCTGCTGGAGGACGCTGCCAACCTGGAGTTCACAGGTACACTGCCTGTCACAGGCCACAAGGTCAAAGGTCAAAACTAAAGACTGATACTGTAAAATGTCTCTGAGATCATCGCATACTATAGTACTACTGACCCTAAGCTGACCCTCAGTTGTTGATTAATGACACTGAGTTGACAAGACACAACCTTGAGGTGACCTGTGTTGTAGCTCAGTAAAAATACCTTAATAGTTAATGTGGGAGATACAGCCGACACAATAAGGAGATACAGCCGACACAATAAGGAGATACAGCCGACACAATAAGGAGATACAGCCAAAGACACAATAAGGAGATACAGCCAAAGACACAATAAGGAGATACAGCCAAAGACACAATAAGGAGATACAGCCAAAGACACAATAAGGAGATACAGCCAAAGACACAATAAGGAGATACAGCCAAAGACACAATAAGGAGATACAGCCAAAGACACAATAAGGAGATACAGCCAAAGACACAATAAGGAGATACAGCCAAAGACACAATAAGGAGATACAGCCAAAGACACAATAAGGAGATACAGCCAAAGACACAATAAGGAGATACAGCCAAAGACACAATAAGGAGATACAGCCAAAGACACAATAAGGAGATACAGCCAAAGACACAATTAGTTGAAAAATGCGTCCTCATCAAAGTGTTGACCTGGTATGAACAGTGTCCAAGTTATTTGCTGTTGCAGCAGCACATGCTTCATATTATGGCACAATCAGAAAAACTAAATTGTCTTTATTTAATTTTCACAATGTTATACTTTGACAGTGTCAGTTCAACCTGCAAGCCAGGACAGTTGCGACACTGTCACTCTCACATTTTTGGACGTGAGCCAGATTTGGAATTTTTATTTTATTTTTATTTCACCTTTATTTAACCAGGTAAGCCAGTTGAGAACAAGTTCTCATTTACAACTGCGACCTGGCCAAGATAAAGCAAAGCAGTGCGATAAAAACAACAACACAGAGTTACATATGGGGTAAAACAAAACAAAGTAAAAAATACAACAGAAATAAATATATATACAGTGTGTGCAAATGTAGCAAGTTATGGAGGTAAGGCAATAAATAGGCTATAGTGCAAAATCATTACAATTAGTATTAACACTGGAATGATAGATGTGCAAGAGATGATGTGCAAATAGAGATACTGGGGTACAAATGAGCAAAATAAATAACAATATAGGGATGAGGTAGTTGGGCGGGCTAATTTCAGATGGGCTGTGTACAGGTGCAGTGATCGGTAAGGTGCTCTGACAACTGATGCTTAAAGTTAGTGAGGGAGATAAGTGTCTCCAGCTTCAGAGATTTTTGCAATTTGTTCCAGTCATTGGCAGCAGAGAACTGGAAGGAATGGCGGCCAAAGGAGGTGTTGGCTTTGGGGATGACCAGTGAGATATACCTGCTGGAGCGCATACTACGGGTGGGTGTTGCTATGGTGACCAATGAGCTAAGATAAGGCGGGGATTTGCCTAGCAGTGATTTATAGATGGCCTGGAGCCAGTGGGTTTGGCGACGAATATGTAGTGAGGACCAGCCAACAAGAGCGTACAGGTCACAGTGGTGGGTAGTATATGGGGCTTTGGAGACAAAACGGATGGCACTGTGATAGACTACATCCAATTTGCTGAGTAGAGTGTTGGAGGCTATTTTGTAAATGACATCGCCGAAGTCAAGGATCGGTAGGATAGTCAGTTTTACGAGGGCATGTTTGGCAGCATGAGTGAAGGAAGCTTTGTTGCGAAATAGGAAACCGATTCTAGATTTAACTTTGGATTGGAGATTCTTAATGTGAGTCTGGAAGGAGAGTTTACAGTCTAACCAGACACCTAGGTATTTGTAGTTGTCCACATACTCTAGGTCAGACCCGTCGAGAGTAGTGATTCTAGTCGGGTGGGCGGGTGCAAGCAGCGTTCGGTTGAAGAGCATGCATTTAGTTTTACTAGTGTTTAAGAGCAGTTGGAGGCTACTGAAGGAGTGTTGTATGGCATTGAAGCTCGTTTGGAGGTTTGTTAACACAGTGTCCAATGAAGGGCCAGATGTATACAAAATAGTGTCGTCTGCGTAGAGGTGGATCTGAGAGTCACCAGCAGCAAGAGCGACGTCATTGATATACACAGAGAAAAGAGTCGGCCCAAGAATTGAACCCTGTGGCACCCCCATAGAGACTGCCATAGGTCCAGACAACAGGCCCTCCGATTTGACACATTGAACTCTATCAGAGAAGTAGTTGGTGAACCAGGCGAGGCAGTCATTTGAGAAACCAAGGCTATTTAGTCTGCCAATAAGAATGCGGTGGTTGACAGAGTCGAAAGCCTTGGCCAGGTCAATGAAAACGGCTGCACAGTACTGTCTATTATCGATCGCGGTTATAATATCGTTTAGGACCTTGAGCGTGGCTGAAGTGCACCCATGACCAGCTCGGAAACCGGATTGCATAGCGGAGAAGGTACGGTGGGATTCGAAATGGTCGGTGATCTGTTTGTTAACTTGGCTTTCAAAAACTTTTGAAGGGCAGGATGGATATGGGACTGTAACAGTTTCGATCTAGAGTGTCACCCCCTTTGAAGAGGGGGATGACCGCGGCAGCTTTCCAATCTCTGGGGATCTCAGACGTTACGAAAGAGAGGTTGAACAGGCTAGTAATAGGGGTTGCGACAATTTCGGCGGCTAGTTTTAGAAAGAAAGGGTCCAGATTGTCTAGCCCAGATGATTTGTAGGGGTCCAGATTTTGCAGCTCTTTCAGAACATCAGCTGTCTGGATTTGTGTGAAGGAGAAGTGGGGGGGGCATGGGCAAGTTGCAGCGGAGGGTGCAGAGCTGGTGGCCGGGGTAGTGGTAGCCAGGTGGAAAGCATGGCCAGCCGTAGCAAAATGCTTGTTGAAATTCTCGATTATTGTAGATTTATCGGTGGTGATAGTGTTTCCTAGCCTCAGTGCAGTGGGCAGCTGGGAGGAAGTGCTCTTATTTTCCATGGACTTTACAGTGTCCCAAAACTTTTTGGAGTTAGTGCTACAGGATGCAAATTTCTGTTTGAAAAAGTTAGCCTTTGCTTTCCTAACTGCTTGTGTATATTGGTTCCTAACTTCCCTGAAAAGTTGCATATCGTGGGGGCTATTTGATGCTAATGCAGTACGCCACAGGATGTTTTTGTGCTGGTAAAGGGCAGTCAAGTCTGAGGAGAACCAGGGTTGTGTTCTTAGTTCTGTATTTTTTGAATGGGGCATGTTTATTTAAGATTGAGAGGAAATTACTTTTAAAGAACAACCAGGCATCCTCTACTGACGGAATGAGATCTATATCCATCCAGGATACCTGGGCCAGGTCAATTAGGAAGGCCTGCTCGCTGAAGTGTTTTTGGGAGCGTTTGACAGTGATGAGGGGTGGTCGTTTGACCGCGGACCCGTTACGGACGCAGGCAATAAGGCAGTGATCGCTGAGATCCTGGTTGAAGACAGCGGAGGTGTATTTAGAGGGTAAGTTAGTCAGGATGATATCTATGAGGGTACCCATGTTTACGGATTTAGGGTTGTACCTGGTAGGTTCGTTGATAATTTGTGTGAGATTGAGGGCATCTAGTTTAGATTGTAGGATGGCCGGGGTGTTAAGCATATCCCAATTTAGGTAACCAAGCAGTACGAACTCTGAGGATAGATGGGGGGCAATCAATTCACATATGGTGTCCAGGGCACAGCTGGGGGCTGAGGGGGGTCTGTAGCAAGCGGCAACAGTGAGATTTATTTCTGGAAAGGTGGATTTTTAGAAGTAGAAGCTCAAACTGTTTGGGCACAGACCTGGATAGTATGATAGAGCTCTGCAGGCTATCTCTACAGTAGATTGCAACTCCACCCCCTTTGGCAGTTCTATCTAGACGGAAAATGTTATAGTTGGGGATGGAAATTTCAGAATTTTTGGTGGCCTTCCTAAGCCAGGATTCAGACACTGCTAGAACATCAGGGTTGGCGGAGTGTGCTAACGCAGTGAATAACTCAAACTTAGGAAGGAGGCTTCTGATATTTACGTGCAGAAAACCAAGGCTTTTACGGTTACAGAAGTCAACAAATGATAGCTCCTGGGGAGTAGGAGTGATACTGGGGGCTGCAGGGCCTGGGTTAGCCTCTACATCACCAGAGGAACAGAGGAGGACTAGAATAAGGATACGACTAAAGGCTTTAAGAACTGGTCTTCTAGTGCGTTGGGTACATAGAATAAAGGGGGCAGTTCTCCGGGCGTTGTAGAAAAGATTCAGGGCATTATGTACAGAAAATGATATGGAAGGATATGAGTACAGTTGAGGTAAACCTAAGCGTTGGGTAACAATGAAAGAGATAGCATCACTGGAGGCACCGATTGAGCCGGTCTCGGCGTGTATGGGGGGTGGAACAAAGGAACTATTTGAGGCAGTTTGAGAGGGACTAGGGGTTCTACAGTGAAATTGTATAATAAGAACTAACCCAAACAGCAATAGGCAAGGCATATTGACAAGGGAGAGAGGCATAAAGCAATCACAGGTGTTATTAGAGAGAGCTAAGACAACAACTGGTAATAGCGATAAAGTTTGGGCTGAGGCTAAACAGAATAAACAGGACAGGGTACCGTGTAAAGGAACAGTCCAGCAGGCATCAGCTGTGCAGCTGAGTGATCATAAGGTCCAGTGAACAGCAATATGTGAGTCCGAGAGCAGTTCAAATTGGTGCTTCAGCACAGCTAGCAGGGAGCACAGTTGTAGTTTGCGTGTGCTAGCGGGCCGGGGCTAGCAGATGGATCTTCGTGGTCGTCGCAACGGGAAGCCTGTTGAAACCACATCAGACGATTTCGTCGGCAAACCAGTCGTGTTGGATCGGCGGGGCTCAGTGTCAACACTAGGAGGTCCCGTCCGGTTGACAGAGAGGTAGATAGCCGGGAGATGGGCCTGAGGCTAGCTCAAGGCTAACTGGTGCTTGCTATAGGGCAATGGTAATTAGCCAACAACAGGTTGCAGCTAGCTAGCTGGTTGCGATGATCCGGCGCTAGGGTCCAGTGATTCCGGCAGAAAGTCCGATAAGCTCTGGGTCGATAGCACGCTGTGAATTGTCCAGGCTAGAGCTAGAGCTGGCTGGTGGATAGTGTAGGCCACAGACAATGGTGAAGATGCTAACGGTGACTAATAGCAAGTAGCCATTCAGTTGCAGCTACACTAGTTTCAGCTTAAGGTTCTTGATGAAAGTTATAAAGAAATAATAGAATCCTTTCCACGTTGGGTGAGGCGGGTTGCAGGAAAGTATATTTAGTTAAAGAATGAAAAGTAAAAATTGAGAAATATATACAAAATAGACCCAAAAAACAAGAAACGGGATATTTACACTAGGACAATTAATAAAACCGCGACCGCACTGCTACGCCATCTTGGATCATATGATAGAGATAACCTTGTTGTTCTCAATTGTCGACTACGCTGAAAAACAAAAAAACTAATAATTTGCAATGGACAAAACAATGCATCACATTCACAAGTATTATGTCACACAACATATTTTCGGAGGACTGTTCTATGTAAAAGGTGTCTGACTACATGAACACCTCTGGAGAGTGAACAGGAGTGAGTGTGATCTGGCAGAGGAAGCCCAGTCTCAAAGGGAAGGGGATGTCCTCAGCTCATTATGTCATTATGCTGCTCCATTACAGAAGATGTCCAACTCGTGGCTCCCTCCCAGAGTAGAGCCCATTCAGCCCGTCGTCATGGCAGCCACTCCTATTTAGAGTTGAGAGACCAGAGAGAGAGAAACCAGCGAGAGAGAGAGAGACCAGAGAGAGAGAGACCAGAGAGAGTGAGAGGCACACAGACCAGACAGTGACTGGCTGGATTCATAAGACACAACACTCCAGTGTTCAGTCTCAGTGCCATTCAGTTAGCAACAGCAGCAGGTGTCAATATGATACTATGCCAAAAGCTCATCAAATGTTGCCAGAAAAATTTCATGAATACCACAAATTCCTCTTGACAGTTTACAAAAGACCATTTAGCCTACTTGTAAAATGTCCCAACTGTGAAATTTCACCACACTTTTGTTCCATTTGCAAATGGCTCAAGAGTTCAAGGGACAGCCCTGTTCTAGCCGTGCAATCAACATAACCACACTATAACACAATAGCATGAACTCAGTCACCGCATGAGGGTTGCATGGTAGTGGCGTGTAACCAACCTACATTATCTTTCACTCACGCTTTCATTCACATTATCTCTCTTTCTGACCTCACAGACCTCATAGTGGCGACCAACGGAGAGCCTGTTACCTCGAAGGACATCAAGTCTTGCATCCACCAGATCCAGGAGCTGATAGTGGTGAGGTTGAACCAGGCGGTGGCCAACAAGCTGATCAGCTCTGTGGACTACCTGAGGGAGAGCTTCGTAGGAACCCTGGAGCGCTGTCTAAACAGCCTGGAGAAGTCCAACATGGAGTCATCTGTCCACAATGTCACCTCCAACCACCTCAAACAGGTGTGTGATTGTACAGTATACTGTATGTCAACCATGTCAAATGAAGCTTGTTTTGTTCAGAAGTGCCTTTTCTGTTTACTCTGTACTACATTATGTTGACCATATCATTGATAAGATGTCCAAATACCATTAGATATCTGAGATTAATTCAATAGAAGGATTCCTCAAAAGTCAATAGAAAAGACAGGATAAAAGACAATGACCTTTTTTCCTATGAGACAGTTGGTCTAAGTTAAATGATAACATCTTGTTCTGTTTTCTCTCCATCTCACTTCCTCTCCTGGTCAGATCCTTAACGCTGCCTATCACGTGGAGGTGACCTTCCATTCAGGATCATCTGTTACGAGACTCGTCTGGGAGCAGATCAAACAGGTAACCATTCCCAGTCAAGCCTCAGGAATCTACTTCAATTGTAGGGCTTTGCAATAACAACAAATGTTGATTTGATTTTAACCTTGATTTATTTCTGGTGTACTCTCTCTCTTTCTCTCTCTCTGTCTCTCTCTTCTGTCTCTCTCTCCTTCTCTTTCTCTCCTCCCCTATGTAGATCATTCAGAGGATAACGTTTGTGAACCCTCCTGCCATCACTACAGAGTGGAAGAGGAAGGTGGCCCAGGATGCCATAGAAAGCCTGAGTGCTGCCAAGCTGGCTAAGAGTATCTGTTCCCAGTTCAGAACACGACTCAACAGCTCCCACGACGCATTCGCTGCCTCCCTGCGACAGGTACACCAACTAACTCTCAACCACATTCCCAACCCGGCTTCAGCTAATCTTTTTGTCTCAAACAAACTTTTTTATGCACCTTCACGCTCTCCGTAAGGTGCCCTCTTCTCTATTGCACTCTTCATCCAATCAGGTTTGGTCTTCGCTACTTTTTACTTTCTGTTTGAAAAGACGTTATAATTACCTTCTTTCAACCATTCTCTGGTTGTAATGATGATGTAATTTCAACCAGTTTTGCCAGGTTCTCTCTTCACGCTAGCTCTTGGGACTTTAAAACCTTGCAATGTGTCACTTCAGCAACTCTCCAGTTACAAATTTAGTGTTGTAAGGAGTCTGATTTTCTGCTTGATTTTCTTTTACCTTTGATGTCAATGGTCAAATTGCTGTGATGGTTGTCCCCACATGACTGACAATGTGATTCCCATCATTGATAAAGACCCTTGTTAAGTATCACAGTGATTTCAACAAAGCCCAGTTTGAACTAGGACGCCATATTAGAGATTAAAACACAATATATTGAAAACATGGATTATTTGGCCTGTGTTTGCCGGAATGATTTTATGATTTATCTGATATCTAGGCCTAGATTGTTTTTCTGTTTGCAGTTTGCAATTGTTTTTTTTATGATGATCTTATCTTATGGGTTTACAAGTAGCTGGAGTGTCGTTAACGTTTGTTGGGTTAATTTCAACCAATGATGTGTGTGTGTGTGTGTAGCTGGAGGAGGGCCACACGGGGCGGTTGGAGCGTACTGAGGACCTGTGGCTGCGTGTGAGGAAGGACCACGCCCCGCGGCTGGCACGCCTGTCTCTGGAGAGCCGCTCCCTCCGAGACGTGCTACTGCATGGTGAGACACACAGACTAGCTGCTCTATCCACTGGGCCCTGGGCTCTATCACCAACAGTAAACACTCTGCCTGGGTGCCACGCTCTCACAGGCTAAAAAGGCCCAGAACCTGTATTTATGACCGACAACAAAATCAACAACACAATATTCTTCCAACTTTGTCATGAAGTTGACCAGTAGTTGACATTGATGTCACTGGAGATGTTGGTTTTGTGAAAATGAATTGACATGTTTCTCTCTTCCTGGCAGGCAAGCCCAAGCTTGGGCGAGAGCTGGGGCGGGGTCAGTATGGAGTGGTCTATCTGTGTGACAGCTGGGGGGGACGCTACCCCTGCGCTCTGAAGTCAGTTGTACCGCCCGACGACAAGCACTGGAACGACCTCGCCCTGGAGTTTCACTACACCAGGTGAGCTGGCCCAGCCAGTGGAGAGGAAAGGGTTACGACAAGCTGCTGCTATCCTATATGGCCACACCTGTGCCATGGATCTCAGACATACCCTTTCAGTTTGGAGTTTTAACCATTGCTGAATGTACTATAATTTCAATAAAGCATGCCTTTAAACTGACACCTAAGGTAGTAATAGAAAGTCAACTGAGTGAACTTATTTTGCAGTATAAAAATTGGTCCATACTCAAGTGAAAAGTAGTCCTCCAATAAAAAAGAATGGTGACTAATTTGTCATTAACAAAACTCTTCTTTATTGGTGTTGACAGCTCTTTGTATAACGCATGTACTGGTAAAACCACCACACCCTCTAGGATAACGAAAAAAACATATATTCTGCTTGCCGGAGCACATGTTTTTCTCTCTAGGGCAATGAAATGGCATCTGGTGCTGCGTGCATTTAGTGTACATCTCAGCATGTTCATTTCATATAACTGCAGCCTTTCACTGTGTAATTTCACGGTTCACCTGCTATAAAAGCTCACTAATGCAGTTCATGGAGAAGTAACCACTCATGTCTGTGGCCAGATGCCAGTGTTGGAACTGTGATGCCTCTGTCCCGTTGTGACTGATAGAAGAATTGAATACACCATGCAGCTGTAAAGGAAAAGTTGTGGTACTGTATTTGCGGGCCAGACTCCACAAGGGGGCAAAAGGGGGCTTAGCCCCCTCAGTTGAAACTTGTGCCCACTCAGTTTTCGTTTTATGTCTCTATATAAAAATAGAAAAAAAGTTTAAATGATTGAGTGACAGGTTGGCGCATAATCTGTATCTCCGCTGCGCTGTGTCAGCACAATGGACAGAGTTCACCGAGGTGTGTGTAGGGGGCTATGGAAAGCCACTGGGGTGGTTATGTAGGATTTCTTTGGGTTTCTCTAAAAAGTGGGAAAAAAACTCTTCTCATCTGTGGTAGGCTAAGTAAATAATGTGATACGTCTCCTACTTGTTATATTAGATTTAGATTTATAAGGGCGGGCCAAGTTTCCCATTGAAGCTGGTTCACTTTACTCTGCCTCACGCCCCACCACTAGAGTTTAGTTAGCTTCTTAGCTAGCGTTAGTGTTATTAGAATTAGCCTATTTAGCTAGCTCGAACCAGCTAATCTGCCACTGCCACGATGGATATCAGAAATAGGCTTCGCCAAAGTACCCAAACAAAGCCAAACGGAGGAGAGCGATGAGCAGCAGCATTAAACCACCGAGGCCGCCGCCAAGCACAGCAGTGATGGTGCTGCCGAGCTCCGGCTTGCTCCTTGTGCAGAACCTACCCACCTTCCACAAGTGCCGCCAGGATAATGGCTCCACAGCCCTCTCCACCTCCGACTGTTCCTGACGATCTTGGAACAGAGGAGCCAGCCCAGGTTAGCCTAGAATCCTACCCTAGCCGCAGCTTTTCTGCCCCAAAACATTCATTTTAATAGCAACTGGTTTATAGGAAGAGAGTGTCTGGAATACTCGGTTACTGCAGAATTCAATATAATTCCAATGCAAAAACCCAAATGACACCCCTGGGTATAGCTACATATCGGAAGTTACAAATGTAACTATGGTTCTACGAATACCTGGAAGACCGTCAGTACGGTTGAAAGTATGGATTATAGCTCTATCGCGCTCCGCGCAGGTCGAGTAATAAATAACAACAAAGTCACACCGGTTATGTGACAGCGTGGGAGGACGTGCCCCTGCGGTTCATATAAAACCGTACGTCAGACCACGCACTGTCTCAGAGAATCTTCTCGCCCAAAAGATTCAGAGTGACAGGAAAGTACTGACAGTCTTCCAGGTATTCGTAGAACCATAGTTACATTCGTAACTTCCGTTCTACTTCATACCTTTCAGACAGTCAGTACGGTTGACAGTATGGATGACTCATACCAACAAGGTCACGAGGAATAGCACTACTAACCTCTGATTAATGCACCAGTGCCACTGGAAGAATGGCAGAGCCCATGGTGTGGCAGGATTTGACGTTGACCTTGTAAAATCTTGAGAACGTACAGGGTGACGACCAGGTAGCAGCTGCGCATATCTCATTCAGGGGGAAGCCTCTCAGCGCAGCCCAGGATGTGGCGACACTTCTGGTCGAGAGGCATATCACACCTTCTGGGACAGGGAGCCCTACTCCCTTATAGGCCTGAGTGATGACATCCACAACCCAGTGTGAAAGCCTCTGCTTGGACAATGCAAGTCCTTTTGACTTCCCACTGAAGCACAGAAACAGCTGGTCTGACTTCCTGTAGTGCTCCGAGGCTTGCATATAGCGTTTGAGGGAACGGACTGGACACAGGAGATTTGCTCACTCCTCCTCCGCATTCTGGAAAGGAGGGGGACAGTAGGCCGCCAGTTCGATGGCTTGATTGATGTGAAGGGGTGATAAACCCTTAGGCAAAAAGGCTGGATTGGGCCATAAGGTCACGCCTAGGTTGTCTGCCTTCCATTGTGGGCAGACAGGGCTCATAGAGAGCGCGTGGAGCTTACTCACACGTTTCGCTGATGAAATAGCTAAGAGGAAAGCCGTTTTCAGAGAGAACCATTTTATGTCTGGCTCCTCCGTATGCTCGAAAGGATGTTTTGTCCGGTAATAGCAGGATCGCAGCCGATCAGTAGAGGGTCGGGCTCTTCAGAGGCCACACCCATAGCTGTAGTTGGTCTGGGCTGGTATGCCATATCCTGCATTCCAACTGTGAAAGCAGGTCCTGTCTGTGAATGAGCTGCCATGGCTCTCCCTCCAGATGACTGAGGAGGGTTGGAAACAAGGGTCTCCCTTCTAGGGGCTACAAGCATACAGTACTCTCCTCGTACAGACCTGTGTTGCCACCCTGCTCCCCAGCCTGTTAGCGAAGCGTCGGTCGTCACTACCTCCCGCTTTGCCGGAATTGATCCAAGAGGGACACCTGTAGTCAGGTAGGCTCTCTACCTCCACGGCCGCAGAGTAGCACACCCTTGTCATCCGTATTTTGGTGTTTCTGTCCCGCTTGGGGTCCAAGCAGGGGTTGTTGAACCACCCTTTTAGTGGCCTTAAAGACAGCAGGTCTAACGTTGTCACTGCGGAGGCCACCGCGAGAATGCACATCAGTTGTTGGAACGTTCGTACCTTCACCAATGCATTCAACTGAAATTGTTGCAGAAGAAGAATGCTGTCCACACGCTGAGGTGTTATACATGCCCTCATAGTGCGGGAGTTCAGAGCCATGGAATAAAGGTGACCTTTTGGCTTGGTGTGAAGTTGCTCTTTTGGTTGTTCATGGTAAGACCCAGTGCGGTGACGTGGTTCAGTGTCAGCGCTGTGCCCTCGGCCGCACACTCGCGAGAGGGCGCGTAGATGAGTCAGTCATCGAAGTACGGAAGGATCTTGATCCCTTGTAGGTAGAGGAAGCTCAGGGCTGCGCTCAATCATCTTGTGAAGACACGAGGAGCCATGGAGAGACCGAAGGGTAATACCACAAACTGGTATGCCTGGCCCTGGAAGGCGACACGCAGAAAATGGCTGTGTTCCGGTAACACAGGAATGTGAAAGTAAGCATCCTTTAAGTCCAGGGACGTGAACCATTCCCCTGCGGCTACGATCTGGAGAACGTCGACCGTCTGCAACATGTGAAAGTGGAGAACTTTTAGGAAAACATTGAACCTCTTGGGGGTTGGGGGAGTGGCTGCATCGCTGTCTGCGGCTGGCGAGCACCTGTGTTAGGCTGGTGGTAGGACCAAGGGCGTGTGTAGGGCTGGGCCGTGAGCGCGGCGAGGTTCACAGGTGTCAGGCCTCACTCTGCCACGACTGTGGTGCCTGGTTTCTGGGCTGTGGGTTCCACAGTGGTGTAGCCTGACTCTGTTTTCTACGTTCAATGGCCCGCTCAGCTGCGGGGCCGAAGAGCAGTCTGGGGACCACTGGGAGATTTCTCAGCGTCCGTCTGGAGTCATCGGGCTTGGGCAAGCCAGACCTGGCGACGAGTCACAACAAGGGTGGACATCAGTCTGCCTAACTCTCTGGTCATGAACGCTTGAAGAGATGCGTCATTCAGGTTGCAGAGGTCCAGGTCTGCGTGCTCCGGCTGGAGAATCCTGTTCTGTGCTAGCATGAGCACTGAGAAGGAATTCCCAATGCGGGCCATGCGGGCCGCTGTGTCGTAGGCCCGTGACAGTAGCTCATCTGTGGCCCTGCATTGAGGTCTGGGGCAGTGGGCGTCATCTTTCAGGGCTTCATCTGGGGAGAGCATTAGCTCTGCTATGCATTCATCCACCTTAGGCATATGGTCCAGCCCATGTTGTTTTGCGTCACACATGGCAGATAGCGTCCTGCTGTCCTTGCCGTGCTGGGCAAGGGCCCGCGGGTCAGCCCAGCATCTATGAAGCTCCGTAAGAAAAGCCGGTGAAGGTGGCACATTGAATGGTGTAGCTGCCGGGGCCTTCTTAAAGAATGGGTTAGCTGCAGGGGCTGAGGCTTGAGGGTCATCAAGCCTAGCTAAGGCCGCACGCAGGACCACGCGTAGTGAGGCAGAGCTTCCTTCTGACTCCGTGTGATCAGAGCCTTGGAATGACTCCTCTGCCCCATCTTTAGCGTTGAGACTGAATGGGTCCACAACACTGGTTGGCACTTCCTTCACCATGTTGGGTGTGTCATCATCCTGGTCACTAAAGTGCCGGTTGGATGTCCAAGTGGACAGCAGGTCATCAACCCGGCTATCTGGGGGGACGCAACAGAGTCCTCTGTTGCGTCCCCCATGCTGGAGGGTGTGCTAGAGGGCCTCGACTCAGATAAGGAATTGACCTTCCGAATTAGGCTCTTATTTTTGTACTTTTTTACCGGGGGGGCATCGGTTTCGTGGGCTTTCCCTCTTTTGGTGGCCCTGGGTGGGTCCTGGTGAACAACGCTGGACGCTGGTAAATTATCTGTGAAAACCAGGCCCTCAACTCTGGCTAGCCGCGCTTCTCTCACCTTCACAGGCAGGATGGCGCAGTTAACGCAGGGGTCAGAAAGGGCCTCACGCAGGTGGCCAATGTCTAGGCAGGCGGGGCACAGGTCATGACCATCTTCTACTAGTTCAGCTCCACAAGAGGAGCAGCCATGCATGCAATACACTGATTCATCAAATGAACTAATATAATAGTAACCGAAGACTGTATACAACAGCTACAATAATCTGTCGGGAGCTGTACAGCACCCGCAAAAATAAATAATTTTGGGTGAGCCTAGCTATGACCACAGGGCTGGAGCAGGAGAGGTAACATGTTTGAACGTAGGCTTATTTATGCGAAACATGCAGAAATGGCCGTCGTTTGTTAAGGCAAGCTGACAACACACAGTGGCAGCTATGTGGAGTTGATAAGCTAGCTGACGACACACAGTGGCAGCTAGGTTGAGTTAGTAAACTAGCTAGCTAGCTTGTAGCATGCTAGTAATACCAGGGGAGAGGGATGCCTAGGGGAGGCAATCCGAATCTCACGTCATATAGCTGGCTAGGCTAACAATCTTCCTAGATGTGGTTATCTAGGGAAGTGACCCATTCGAGTTTTAAATAGTCGAAGGACGACTAGTGCCCAGTGGCCTCGATAACGAGCACAGCAGTGGAGGATATCTTGACAAGGTTAGCACCAGAGTAGTCAGCACAAGACAAGGAAGCCAGATATCCTCTGATAAAAGGGATAGGTAGGGGAGAGCTGTCACACAGCCTTGGAGGGCGAATTTCGTGCTCTGACTCACAGGTCACAGGCTGTTGGTGACAGACTGACAGTACACACAACTCATACAGAGTTTAGCTTACCCTACCGGGACCTGGGAAGATGCAATCCGAAAAACGGGAGCAGCGGAGCAGTCAACTTGCGTGATACAGCTAAGCTAACTTTGCGAGGGAAATGAGACAGTGGTCTGACGTACGGTTTTATATGAACCACAGGGGCACGTCCTCCCACGCTGTCACGACACCGCCGTGACTTTGTTGTCATTATTACTCGACCTGCGCGGAGCGCGATAGAGCTATAATCCATACTTTCAATCGTACTGACGGTCTGAAAGGTATGAAGTAGAACGGTATGTTTCATCGTAGAAATGGATACATTCTATTATGGTTTTCTTGGTAGTCTATTGGTTTTTGTGGTTGTAAATGTATGTATTGGAAATGTGTTTATGATAGGCTGGCATTTCTTAATTGATTACGTGGCTCAAATTTGATCAACAGAAGTGTATTGTGCCATATCACAACGTGCTGCTGCACTCACGGGCGCCATGATTTTCCAAGCGGGCCTATTTGTTTGGCAAGACCGCTGTGCATGGCTGCATCTCACTGTAGTAGTTGTGTCGGTATTCTAAGCTGGTATTCTAAGCCTGCATGAATAACTAAGCTATTTTGTTAAGACAGCTGTGTGTACGGCTGCATTCACATGGCTGTTTGTAGTAGGTGAATTACCCTATTTATCTTGTAGCCTATATTCATTACCAAAACGACCTCACTTTAGTGTGTAGGGCGCTGTCCATTGTGCTGATACAGTGCAACGGCAATAGGCTACAGATTTAGTGCCAACCTGTCACTTCAAAAGCACTCAATATAATTCCAAAGCAAGATCCCCCGCCCCCCCAAAAAACGATTTCAACTGCCCCCTTATCCTGGCACCGGGTCTGTATTTGTGTGCTAGTGAGCACTGTAAAAAGAATGGCAGAACCCATTTCTACTAACACAGAGGGTAGGATGTAGTAATATTAATATAAAAATGTAGGACCTTATTTCTCCTACCTTCTCTATTGTGTACGGGTACAGGTCCCTCCCTAAACACGAGCGCCTGGTGGACCTGCATGGCTCGGTGATTGACCACACATATGGCGGAGGCTCCAGCATCGCTGTGCTTCTCATCATGGAGAGGCTTCACAGAGATCTCTACACAGGCCTGAAGGTAACCACATATCTATTATATACCCTAATATAGTTCATCTTGCACATATGATGACATAAGTGATTCGCACACTGAGGTCTACCTTACCATCTCCCTCTCTCTCTCTCGCTCGCTCTCTCTATCAGGCTGGTTTATCAATGAAGGAGAGACTCCAGATTGCTCTGGACGTGGTGGAAGGCATTCGCTTCCTGCATGGTCAGGGGCTTCTGCACAGAGACATCAAACTAAAGAATGTGCTGGTGAGTGAGGGTTAAAGGTGCTTTCTCAAATCATGCTAAATGTAACACTAGCGTTGATCACTACATTATCAATTTATCAAATCAGTATAATTTCCATTGATTTTTATTTAGACATAGTTCTAATTTTGAGCTGATTTAGCTGTGGTCATCATGGCTCAGTGGAAACGCTCCAGCACCACACACACACCAATGAATTCCTCATTATTTCCATCATATTCATATTCCGCCTGTGCTGCTTGCTTGGTTATGTAAGAATAGCCCAGCCCTGCCTACACAGTATGACGTTTGGCTCATATCTCACTGTTCTGCTGTGTCCTCTGACTGACTCAATTATGTGTGAAAATGAGGGCAATGTTTAATGAGACATACTATGGAGGTCACAGGCTACTATACTACAATAAAGGGCTGTATTGTTAGGACAGAGTTATGGAAAATGATTTAACTTCCCTCATAAATTGAATGTTCTGGGGCATTGGATGTTCCGAGTGGAATGATAGATATGTACTGAACTTTTTGGAATTTAGGTTTGAGTTGAAAATTGGGGGAAAAATCACTTAACCCCTCTTTGTATAGAGGACTTAAGGGTATGCTTTTTTGACTGTGTGTATACCCTGAGAAACCAATATTTATGGTCCTGAAATTTCACATCTTGCCAGACGTGTTCCTAACCTGTGCTGTCGTTTGTCCCTCCCTCAGTTGGACAAACAGAACCGGGCCAAGATCACAGACCTGGGCTTCTGTAAGCCAGAGGCCATGATGTCCGGCAGCATCGTAGGAACCCCAATCCACATGGCCCCTGAGCTCTTCACAGGTCAGCTATCCTGCTACTCAGTCACAGTGCTGCATCATGGACCACCTCTTATTCTAGGCTCTTTGGTTTAACCCCAAGTCTCACCTCTCTCTTTCTTCAGGAAAGTATGATAATTCTGTGGATGTCTATGCCTTTGGAATCCTGTTCTGGTACCTCTGCACTGGCTCCGTCAAACTCCCAGAGTCCTTTGAGAAATGCTCCAGCAAGGACCAGTTGTGGAATAATGTTAAAAAAGGTGATGTACAATTCCAGCTCGAGCAAACCCACAGCTAAAATACTAATTCACACTGACGACTGAATATGATCAAAACCAAATAGCTTGTTGTAACATTTGTCTTTTATCCAGGATTTACAGTGTGTCTGTTTGTGGATGAGATGTGTTGTGTGTGTGTCTGTTGGCTGAATTGGACTAGAGAGCTGCCCGGGCCTCATTTGTGCCCATGTTTGCAGGCGCGCGCCCCGAACGGTTGGCCAACTTTGATGAGGAATGCTGGCAGCTGATGGAGGCCTGCTGGAACGGAGACCCTTCCCAGAGGCCCCTGCTCGGCATCGTAGAGCCCAGCCTGCAAAGCATCATGGTACGGCTCTGCAATTGTGGCTCAGATCAGAAGAGCAGTAGCCTGGACTCAAACTGACAAACTCTGAGAGGACCACAGTTGCAAAGGATTATGATCAAAAAATGTACTTTTTGTTGTATTTATGGAAAAAGGACAGTGTGTTTCTGGAAGGCCAAGAGAGGAGAAGACCAATAATAAAGATTGACAAAGACAGTGTTCCTCTTCCTTTACAGGAGTTATATATACACTATTTAAGCTGAAACAGGACAAACATTTATATGGATATGTGTTTGTGCCGTGTGTATTTGTATAGTATACAAACTCTAGCAGACACTATGCTTCCGTCTTAGCTGGCATGCTAATTGCTGCTTGGTCATAGGATTGTTACTAGATAAAACATTTTAAATGTAGTAATAAAAAAATAAACAAATGCAGTATTATATAGAAAAATATTAATTTTAGGTTGTATTTAAACTGGTTCAGAGTATTTCTGCATCTATGAAATTTCAATTTTTTTAATAAAATGATTTTGACAAAATAATAAATTGTTTCCCTTCACTCTTATATAGGGTTCTGTTTTCAGCATCTTCACAGCACCGGTCCTCAAGGCTTAGAGGATACTGCTATTTCCCTGATAATAAATCAATCTATATCATTGATAAGATGCCAGCAGGGTAACCTCCCCAGGCAAATTTTGACTGTCCACATTAATACAGTAGAGAAGATGGTAGTGATGCTGATGCTCTTTTATGTTTGCTATCTATATGCCTGTTACACATGTTTGACTTCTAAAATGTGGGATGGAAACGTAATGACATGAATCAACACCTGGAAGAAATTTAGGATGGTAGAATAATTTTATATTAAGATTCTGGAACTGAGGTATTCTGAAACATGTCATAGCTGACAACAGCATTTTTCAAGTGTTTTTGAACAGCAACAAGACTATCCTGGCCATTGTGTACCAAGTAAGTAAGACTTGATTGCGACCAGCTGAACGCGACAGCATTTGTTTAATCTATTATACGTAGTGTACATAATGAATATTTTGATTTGCATTGAATGTTTATTTTAAGTTATTGAAGACTACTGTATACTTCTGTGATCCAGAGTTTTTAGGAGGGATGGAGAAGACAGAGACTGCTCACACTGCACAGCAGCCCACCTTGGAGTAAGTGTAGTCCATAAAAATACAATGGTGTAGTCTCACCTAGTCCATGATATGGTCACTACTATAGTGAATATAGTCTCAAACAATTATAAATAAAAGTGGAATACCAAAGCATGAGGAAAATGCTTGTGCTCTGGTCTCAGTGACTCACAGAGCGAGTTGGACGAGGAAGAGGATGATGGCTTTGTTGGGGGGACCGGAGAGCAGTCAGACAAGGGACAGAGTGGCGCGGAGTCAGAGGGTGTGGATGAAGAGGATGACGACGAAGATGAGAAAGAGGAGGTAACTTTGTTAGAAAGGACATTGTAATGTTTGGTCCAATCCAGACAACTGTACATTTGATATCAGAGATTTAATCACCTTCAGTTTAGGTATAAATGTGTCCCTCTCTCATTAGGCGGGACCTGCAGCCCAACCCAAGGAGAAGGATAGTGAGTATTATCACCAGTAACATATTTCTCTCTCTATTCTGAAGTACACTGATAAAGCACCAATGACGTAAGTAACCATTGTTGTGCTCTACAGAGGATTCCTTTTCCCGGAAGCGTTCTATCTGGGGTACCACCAAGTACATCAGCAAGTGGAAAATGGCCCATCGGAGAGGCTACCACATCAACTGCCTGACCGACGACCCATACCGCAAGGCCATGATCATGCAGCAAGAGCTGGACTGCAAAACCAGCGTAAGAGATCCTAACCCCAACCTTATTCCTTCAACTCTGCTCAATGGTAGAAAGGGTAATGCTGCTTGTGAGAGTTGCTGATGACGTTGATTAATTGTGCATATCTTAGATGTCCATTACCCTGAAAGCTGAATCATGCAACTCTCTTCTTCAGATTCCCCTCCCTATGGTGTGTATGATTGAGAAGGAGACCCTGCAGATTCTACAAAATATTGAGAATGGTAATCCCTGGTCAAAGTGTCTCTACACTTCAATTTATCTGAGCATGAAAACTCTAGAAAGTCCTCTCCTCTCCCTACATTCTCTGTGTTACTGTAGACTACAAGTACAAGTTGGGCGCCAGCCACCATCTGACGAAAGAGCTCCATGAGCGTATTGAGAGCCTGAAGTGCCAGGTATCCTCCAAGGTTAGGCACAGTGAGCCGGCCCCAGAGGTAGGAGTGCTGGCGACCCTGGTGGGGTGGTGCAGGGCACTATCTGCTATGCTGGGTTGGGGCAGTGGAGCCTCAGCTACTAAAGATGAAGAGAACGCTCTACCCCGCAAGGAGCGTCCCCTTGAAACAGACGAGACAACAGAATTATAGAACTAAAAGAATAAAGACTTGAATTTCAACTGGTTGAATATAAATAACAGACTAATCTGTGATTCTTTTTGAGGTTGTCACTTGTGTTTTGGTAGCAGTTCAGCACATTGGGCACCAGAGGGCTCTAATGACTGGACTGTACTAAAGCTCAGCATTCTACTACACACTGATACAAAATGCTTGGCCTACATGTTCACTTGACACACATTATGTTGCATTAAGATAGCCATGGAATGCTTTTAATAGGCTATGGAGGCCATTTCCCCTGAAGGAATAAAAAACAATAACACCACTGTATTAAAAGCACATCTGTCTGTTTTACTCATTGCATTTTGGAGAATTCCTTTACAAAGCTGTTTCTCATAGAAAAATACAAGTAATATCTAGTCTACCCTGTATCACTAAAGCTTTGACATCAGTAACCTACTACAGGTCTTGGTTTAAAGCAGTTGATTGCTTGGCGCTCCAATTATGAACTGTTCGTACCAACCAGATAAGGAAACAGAAATGTTTTGTTATTCAATCAAACAGAGATAGGGAGTATGAGAGTAGCATATATAGTGCTCTTCACAGTTGTCTCAAAGTGATTAATTAGGATCCTGATAATGTGGTAATGAATACACTGCAATATGAAAGTGAGGTTGCACTCTTTTGTAGGCCTGATATTCAATAACCCTTCAACAAATGTTTTACTAAAGCTTCACCTTGTATTTACTTTGATATCATAGTGTTGTAAAAAAAAGGAAAACATTTTAAAGAAACAATTGGCAATGCAGGAATGACCCTTACTTGACTTGCCACATATATTGTTGAGGTACTGTATCATGGAGAATGCTCTCAGATGTCAGTTCATTTCATTTTAGGGAGCACCAATGAAAACAGACAATCCTCTCAGGAACTGTAGTGTTATTCAATCTTCCAATAAAACATGATTCAGATGAAGACTGTGTGTTGGTGCTTGTGGAGTAATGTTAAATTAGTGATAAGACCTTTTAAGGCTGATAAAAACGTTATCTACAGTTTAAATCTACACATCAAAACACATAATATGCGAGAGAAATAACATGTTGTTTTCTTTTCTACACATCAATAAATTGCCTGAACTGCTTTTCAATAGTGGGAATATAGTGGTGTACAGTATATTTCAGGACTGACTGAGGTGTGTACAGTTTATGCAGTATGATTCAATTGAAGAATATGTTGCATGAAGAATTAGTGTGTCTTTTTACAGAAAACTCTGTACAGTAAAATTGGAATACATTTCAAAGAGTATTACAGCACAAGTTTGCAAGTATTTCAGTAAGTATTTTACAAAACAATGAGTCCTTCATACCTAATCTATAAAAATACAAAGTTGTTTAGTCGCTGATTCAAATGAAGGCATATATCCCTAGGACAAAAACATTTAAAAATGGGAGCATCTTCAGTGTCCATACAAAAATTTGCTCCCAACAATTTACAAAAGTCAAGATGTATCAAAAGTCCTTGTTATACAAATTCTTGACACGCACTCTTTTCCTCCAATGATGATGTAATAAAACAAAGGCGAAGTGGAGGAGAAAGGCAGGCATTCTTCCTCTATGTGGATGACAGCTGGCCAGTCACTGCTGCCTTGATTAAACATCCTTCACTAGTGAGAGAAACTGTTTACAGAGCGTCCATTACGGGGCATGGCAATACTGAGTGACCCCATGGCCTCTCACTGTCCACAACCCAGTTCTCCAGCCACACTTCCAACAGGAGTCCTTTCCTCCAGTGCAGAGCACAGTGTAGTGGTTGACCTCAGCTGGGTGGAGCTGTTCATCTCTCTGTCCATCTCTCCTGTTCAGTCTGGGGACATGTTGGACTGACTGCTCTTCCTGTCCACCAGCTCAGGCTGGCAGCGTCCTGAGACTGGAGTGGAGAAGAGTGAGTCCTCTCTACACTGCAGCAAAACTCAAACTGGCCTCAGCCCTCAGTAGAACAACTAAATCCTCTAACAAAACAACAACTGTACAGGCGACCCTTTCTGAGATTACAAACTAGATGAGGAAATTCCCTGAACATGTAAAGATCTTACAGCTAAATGACCCAGCCAAAGGAGGACTTATTCATTGTTCCGTATCTCCGGAGTTTGAAACATAAAAACAACCACAATAAAAAAAAACAGAACATCTGCTCCAGTTGACTACCAGCACATCTGGTCGGGCAGTTTAAATGATTAAAAAAGTGCATCGCTTCAAGTATGTAAACAAACAATGAAATATATATTTTTTAAAGAGAAAGAGACTCATTTCATTAGTGCTCTCAAGCCTGGGCCAGTGCAGAGACTCCTGAGGTGTGGTTCTCTCTCTCTCACACACACACACACACACACACACACACACACACACACCCTCTGAAAAAATGAGGGGGAAGAGAGAGGGTACTCCATGGATCTCCAGGTGAGGACAGTCCAACGCTCTGCGTCTCCTCAGACATCAGCTCCTGTCACTTAGAGAAAAGTAGGCGTGGCGATGAGGGGCGAGGCTCTATGACCTGCAAAGACACACCCCTCCGTCAGCCTGCTCATATGTGTTGCGGTGGCTGCTGGGAAAACAGGGTGATGGGGGGGGGGGTGTCAGTGACAAACGTAACACAACACAGGGAAAACAGAAGGAACAGGGAGAAAAAATGAATGAGAATGTTTCACACACACAGTACGTACACACAGTGTGAGAGGTGATAACCACATATGGGATTCTTATTTTGGTTGTAAGGAGTGAAGGATGCTGAATGATCCAACGACATGAAGACAGTGATCCTGATTTCAAATGAGGATCAAGTACTTCAGTGAATAAAATTAAAGAATAAGAATCTATGGTTTTTGGAGAGAGAGAGGACAGAGAAGGGTGGTTAGAAAGCAACAAGACTCTGCACTGTAGAAACTCTTCATAATAAAATGATATTGCCTCACAATTAAAGTTGCAATCTGCAGTTGCTGCATACATTTTTTGGACCTATAAATTAATGATATAACTTAGAAATGCCTCGTACCCCATCAGAACCCAAAATATAAGCTTGTTTTAATCCAATGTTTTTGAACAAAGTAAATGTTAACAAACACTATATAGCCTCACAACATAGTTAAAACTATAATTTTGATATCTTGGATGGTCAGTCCTTGCATCCATAGCTCTATCTATGAATTTGAGAGTGGTTACATTTCTCCAGCCCCATCCCTCATCTTTTTTACAAAACAGGTGCGGGGAGAACGCTTTGTTATTGTTGACTGCTGATTGGCACTTTAAAGCCACTTGTTTCTAGCAGTTTGTATAATGGTAGCGAACAAAGCTAAAAAAAAAAAGTGTTAATATACAATCTAACTTGTTGAAATGAGCTTTTACCAAGTCCCTCTGTTTATGGAACTAACAGTATTTTGAAAATACAGTATTTTGTTCCCAATAGAATAAAATCACCTGATCATGGAAGTTGTTTGAGATCTTTCCACATTGGTGTCTGAGCTCATTGATGAGAATGTGACGGTACTGTATGTATTGGACTATTGACAAGCCAGCATGCTAACATCAACACTACATAGTCAGAGGAGGACAGGGGACTACACACAATGGTGTGGGGGAGACGACACATACTGAAGACAGCAGCAAGATACATTCAGTGGGACATCAATTCTCACACATCAACCTGGCAGACTGTTAAACAGAAAATATAACATACTGTATCCAGCAACACATAAAGCAACATTTAAATAAATAAGTACTGAGAAATCTCTTAACTTCCATCTAAGGGCTGTTGCTTTGATTATATGACATTGTGTTGTACTGTATGAGTTGATGTGTTTGTGATCTATTCTGGGTTGTGTTCAGACAGATTGGTGTATTCTGGGTATTATGCTTGGACCTGGGTCATGTTTGGTGCTCTGTGTTGGATGACACTCACTCTGATCCTGACGAGTCACCGTCCACTGTTCCCGCCTTGATGCTCATGGCGACACCATTCAGCTGATCTGGTAGGCTGGGCTTGGCCCGGCCCCCTCGGCGCTCACCGGAGGAGGAGCCCTGAGAGGAGGCATGGCCCGGAGCGTTCTTCGACAGCTCGTTATGGATGCGGTTGATACCATTTCTCTCCGCGATGGGGGAGAGCTGTTTCTTCTTCAGGATTCCTGTATGTGAAAAGACACATCCTCTCATAAACAATTCCAATGTTCTGGAAAGCCCACCCCTACAAAGATATAAAGTTGAACTAACAACAACATGTGGATGTTTGGGTTTGTTGCTGACCTTTCTGTGGGAGTGCATGGAGGTTGGGCTGACTGGGAAGTAGCAGCATCACGTTGTCCTTCCCATAGCTCTCTGCCTTGTCCCCTGGCCTTTCGTCTGACATGCCTCGGTTGTCCCGGGTCTGGCCCAGCTCAGGGTTGGCCAGAGACTGTGCCTTCAGCCTGTCTGCTCCCCCGAGGCCCTCACTGTCGCTGGCTGTCGTCACATACTCCCCTGGCCAGAACAGCTTACTCAGGTTGTTATCTGGGGAACAACCAGACACAACTTTAAGACTACATCTTACATGCTTGATGCATTAAATCATGGTGTAAGCTGTGGTCTTTCAAGACCATAATCTGGTCATGTAAGTCTTATTAATAGATGTTTAAGTAAGATTCATAACATTCATGTATTGCTCAGAAGTGGATTTATTTACTCCCGGACAACTGTATACAGTGTAGGTGTAGTCTATTGAAGGGATGTCTGGTATGTGTGTGCTGTTTGGGTGTGGTGAACTGTTTAAACAGAAGTGTGGGAGCAGTCTTATCAAGAAGGTGTGATGCCAAATCTTACAACGCCTGGATAGGTATTTTACGTATCAGCTAACCACATCATATGTTATAGCAATCTGATGCCCAACAGCAGTCTATGACGTGGCACGCAACCACTGGTTGATGCATGCAACGTCTAAGCAGGGGGAACACGACCACCATGTTGGTGTGGTCTACTGGGTGTGAGGGAGTGAGGTCGTATAGAGATTATATTGTGTGGGTGACTGGGCTGATTATAGGTGTGAGGTCATACCATGAGGGTGTGGTCTCTTGGACACGTTGGAGGCCATGCTTTCCCAGCATTCCTCTGGTGGGTAGGGCCCCTCCTCCTCGCTGTCAGAGGAGTGTGTGGAGGCGTATGAGCCGCTCTGGTCGTCCTCCAGAGATAGGTCACTGTCCGAGTCCGAGTCGTGATCTGTGGTTGTTGCACAAACACATGTTAAGATGATGACCAATGAGAATTGCACAGATATATATATATTTTTTATACATATATTAACCATATGAAATGAACCCTCTGTATGCCTCTCTGCTAAAGGCAGTCACAGTGATCCTAATGACATTAGAATGGGAGACCTACCATCTAAATGCTCTTTAGTTTGATGGAAGAGTGAGCCGTGCTCATTCAGAGCGATGTGTGCCTGGCTGTTATTCAGGCCACTATCATCCCTGAAAAACACAACAGGACTTGTAACAGGACATAAACGTACAAACACAAAGCCCTCATCTCCTCAATGAAAGTTACTATGTGGATCTGAAAGGGCTGTTCTACTGTTTTACAGTACATAATGGACCATCATAAAACACACTTTTTCAATGAATTTGTAAAGCACACTTTTTTCTAGCACACAATGATGCAGGAGGCCCTGAACAGCGTGTGTCCATGGGGCCTGTTATGTCCCTCTGGGCTTGCTGTACCTGAGGACAAAGGGGACGTAGCTCTGCTGGCTCTTGCCGCTCTGTAGGGTGCCGTTCAGAGACACACTGGAGTCTCCAAACGGCAGGTGGTACAGTCTGCCATCCATGTAGCTGGTGTTACAGTTATATGACTGGAGGAGGAGGATGAGGAGAGGGAGAAAATAGGAGAGGTATGAGTTAATAGGCAATAATTCATCATACCAAATTCTGTTTTATTTGTTTGATGCTTTAGTTAATGTCCTTGGTAATAAAAGGCCAAACCTAAATGCCATGATATGGAGGCCTTCACTGGAAATATCTGTACTAGTTCCTGTTCTACTAAGACCTTGGAAGACTGGTGTCCCTATATAGTGGGAGAGACTCACAGAGGGCTTGGACTTGATCATGTGATCTGGGCGCTTGCGGCTGCAGCAGTAGCGCATGGCGTTCCTGGCCTCCTTGTTGAAGACGATGCGGAAGAAGAAGATGAAGGGACCCTGGAAGGATAGACCAAACGAAGAGGAGGTTAAAGAAACCAATGGAGCAAGGATACTGATTCCTGGTACAAATGAGAGAAAAAAAGTGTTTACCTGGAGACAGTTGAATCCAGCAAACAAGTAGTGGAAGATGATCATGTCACTGTTGACTGAGAGTATAGCTAACAGACATGTTACAGTGACCAGGAGGAGAACCCCACACGCAGTCCTCAGCCCAGAGCTACACACACACACACACACACACACACACACAGGTTAGATGAGAACACCACAAAGGTTACATTAGGATAAGTGCGTTTTCAGAGTTGATAGAAATATGTTTTTGGCCTTTATGAGCCAACAACATCAACAGTTTAGTGAATTGGCAGCTTCACTCTCAATTCAATGAGACAATGCACACTCTTGTGGTGCCTAAAGTGCTGTAGTCATGTTTCCTTGGGGTACAACAGCATGCCTGTGTTAATGACAGAATGAGTGTAGTTTCCCTAGTGTTTTTATTCAGGCAGCGGCAGGACACTCACACAGGGGGCTCTTTCTTCTCAAAGCTGTGGTGTCTTATGGAGCAGGATACTCTGGAGGCCAGGATGTACATGAAGATGTTCATCTGGAAAACACAAAACACAATCAAACAATGTATTAATGCACCATAATAATACATTATAAGCTACTGATATTGAACACAAACTACACAAAGATTACACACCACATCATATGAATATAATATAATACACTGTATTAGAGAGGTGGAGTGTACTCACAGACACCACCATGGCGATGGGCCCTGCCAAGCTCCAGATCAGAGTGTCGTACATGGACAGCCAGCAGAAGTCTGGGTTCCCATAACCCTCTGGGTCCAGTCCGACCGCCAGGCCTGGACAACACAACAAACAAACACTAGTAACTATAAAATAACTACAGTCTAACTGGATACATGATGAGTTGGCATTGTGTGTCTGTGTGTTTGTGTATGCAAGCGTGTGTGTGTGTATTGTTCAGACCTGTGATAAAGGCTGGCACGCCCCAGCCGATCATGTAGTAAAAGCGCATGGGTCCGTAGTTGATGTCTCGTATTTCACTCAGCATGCGGTAGACATGTAGGCCCTCCAGGAAGAGCCAGGAGAAGGTGCACAGGTAGAAGAAATGCAGCAGGATGGCGATGATTGTGCACACGAACTAGACACACAGACAGAGACAGAGACGTAGAGAGAGAGAGAGAGCGCTTATTATACTGGATATGACAGGGCTCAAAATGGGCTGAATGTTTTGCTTATTTTTTTCCATTGTTTTGAATCAGATCCATATGTCAGACACCCATTCCAAATATAAATGAAAGGAAAGGTAGGATATTGAAAGTGATGTTGCTGAACGGAGGTAGAGAGGGACAAAGGTAGACAGAGAATAACTTTGTTCCAGTAGTTTACCGGGTTGTCTGCCAGGTTAATGCCCAGGATGAAGATGAGTTCGGAGATGAAGAGGGCGGTGGCTCCATTGTTGATGATGCTGGTCTTGTTGCAGTGCATGGCCCGCAGGCAGAGGAGGAAGAGGGTGGTGAGGAAGAGGAAGACCAGGGTCACACCCACCGTGCTCCACGTCACCAGCTTCACCGGCAGGATCTCACCGTTCTGAGAAGGAAGAGAGGAAGAAGAGGTTTTTTTGGTCGTTATAGTGAACAAGACCACTTTTGGGTGTGGCCTGTGGTCTATTGAGGTATCTATGTAAAGTTTACAATGTGAAGTCTATATGGAGTAGTTTTGTAGTGTTGTATGAAATGTTAGGTCTGAAAGTATGAGGGGAGTGTTGTGTTGTGTTGTGTTGTGTAGCCTCTCTCACCTCTCTCCTGGAGACATCCATGAGGACAGCGAAGCTGGTCATGTGGTAACACTGGCAGCTGATGTGAGTGTTGTTCCTGAACACCACCTCACAGCCTTTAGCTGACCAGCCTCCGTTCCCCGCTCTGACAAACACAAACAACAGTCAAACAATGCAATAGTCAAACAATGCAATGGTGGATTAATTGGTTTCAACCTAATCCCTTATAGAGCCTTTGTAAAACCTTTGTTTCTACAGCTCAAAGTTGAAATAGCTAGTGTGTGTGTGTGTAACTCACAGTATGGAGTGGTTCCAGAAGACACAGATGGGTTTGGAGCGGTCCTCGGTGGTGACCATGCGGAACTGCACAGTGATTGGTTTGTCCAGCGTGTGCTGCAGCAGCTCCTCGTTGTCATGGACCGTGATGCTGACCACCGGGGTGTTGATGACCGGACGCTTGGGCACCCTAGTGGACGTCACACAAAACCATCATTAAATAATACTTCAGCATAGAAGACAGCAACCTTGACACTCCTATACTTTACCATCTTTCTCTTCCTCCCTTAACCCCTACAAACACATATACACATACAGTACCAGTCAAAAGTTTGGACACACCTACTCATTCAAGGGTTTTTCTTTATTTTTACTATTTTCGACATCGTAGAATAATAGTTAAGACATCAAAACTATGAAATAACACATATAGAATCATGTAGTAACCAAGAAAGTGTTAAACAAATCAAAATATATTTTAGATTTTAGATTCTTCAAAGTAGCCACCCTTTGCCTTGATGACAGCTTTGCACACTCTTGGCATTCTCTCAACCAGCTTCACCTGGAATGCATTTCAATTAACATGTGTGCCTTGTTTAAAGTTAATTTGTGGAATTTATTTCCTTCTTAATGTGTTTGAGCCAATGAGTTGTGTTGTGACAAGGTAGGGTTGGTATACAGAAGATAGCCCTATTTGGTAAAAGACCAAGTCCATATTATGGCAAGAACAGCTGAAATAAGCAAAATAAAACGACAGTCCATCATTATGTTAAGACATGAAGGTCAGGCAATCTGGAACATTTCAAGATCTTCAAGTGCAGTCGCAAACACCATTATGAAACTGGCTCATGAGGACCGCCACAGGAAAGGAAGACCCAGAGTTACCTCTGCTGCAGCAGATAAGTTCTTTAGAGTTACCAGCCTCAGAAATTGCAGCCCAAATACAGTTTAAGTCGGAAGTTTACATACACCTTAGCCAAATACATTTAAACTCAGTTTTTCACAATTCCTGACATTTAATCCTAGTACAAATTCCCTGTCTGTAGGTCAGTTAGGATCACCACTTTATTTTAAGAATGTGAAATGTCAGAATAATAGTAGAGAGAATGATTTATTTCAGCTTTTAGATTTACATACACTTAGGTTAGAGTCATTAAAATTTGTTTTTCAACCACTCCACAAATTTCTTGTTAACAAACTATCGTTTTGGCAAGTGGGTTAGGACATATACTTTGTGCATGACACAAGTAATTTTTCCAACAATTGTTTACAGACAGATTATTTCACTGTATCACAATTCCAGTGGGTCAGAACTTTACATACACAAAGTTGACTGTGCCTTTAAACAGCTTGGAAAATTCCAGAAAAGGATGTCATGGCTTTAGAAGCTTCTGATAGGCTAATTGACATAATTTGAGTCAATTGGAGTTGTACACCTGTGGATGTATTTCAAGGCCTACCTTCAAACTCAGTGCCTCTTTGCTTGACATCATGGGAAACTCTAAAGAAATCAGCAAAGACCTCAGAAAAAATATTGTAGACCTCCACAAGTCTGGTTCATCCTTGGGAGCAATTTCCAAACACCTGACAGTACCACATTCATCTGTACAAACAATAGTACGCAAGTATAAACACCATGGGACCATGCAGCCGTCATACCGCTCAGGAAGGAGACGCGTTCTGTCTCCTAGAGATGAACGTACTTTGGTGCGAAAAGTGCTAATCAATCCCAGAACAACAGCAAAGGACCTTGTGAAGATGCTGGAGGAAACAGGTACACAAGTATCTATATCCACAGTAAAACGAGTCCTATATCGACATAACCTGAAAGGCCGCTCAGCAAGGAAGAAGCCACTGCTCCAAAACCGCCATAAAATGCCAGACTACGGTTTGCAACTGCACATGGGGACAAAGATCGCACTTTTTGGAGAAATGTCCTCTGGTCTGATGAAACAAAAATAGAACTGCTTGGCCATAATGACCATCGTTATGTTTGGAGGAAAAAGGTGGTAGCTTGCAAGCCGAAGAACACCATCCCAACCGTGAAGCACAGGGTGTCACGGTTTCGGCCGAGGCTGCTCCTCCTCCTTGGTCGGGCAGGCTTCGGCGGTCGTCGTCCCCGGAGTACTAGCTGCCACCGTTGTATGTTATCGATGTTTGTTTGGTTTTGTCTTAGTTGTACACCTGTTCCCGTTTAGTGTTAATTATGTGTCCTATAAGTTCTGGTTTTGTTAGTCGTGTGTTGTGTGTAATTGTCCGCCTGTCAGCAGGTGCCGTATTGTTTTGCTCCATTGTTTTGGAGAGTTTCGCACTTGCGTGCGCACTTATTTGTATTTTCGGTGTTTACGCACAGTGTGCGTAATCGCTCGCCTCCGGGCTCTTTTGAGGCCCGTTTGTATTTGCTTGATCGTCTACTAAAGTGTGTTGGACGAAGCTTCTGTGTCCTGCGCCTGATTCCTGCACCACATCCACATTCAGCTATTCCTGACACAGGGTGGCAGCATCATGCTGTGGGGGTGCTTTACTGCAGGAGGGACTGGTGCACTTCACAAAATAGATGGCATCATGAGGAAGGAAAATTATGTGGATATATTGAAGCAACATCTCAAGACATCAGTCAGGAAGTTAAAGCTTGGTCGCAAATGGTCTTCCAAATGGACAATGACCCCAAACTTCCAAAGTTGTGGCAAAATGGCTTAAGGACAACAAAGTCAAGGTATTGGAGTGGCCATCACAAAGCCCTGACCTCAATCCTACAGAACATTTGTGGGCAGAACTGAAAAAGCGTGTGCGAGCAAGGAGGCCTACAAACCTGACTCAGTTACACCAGCTCTGTCAGGAGGAATGGGCCAAAATACACCCAACTTATTGTGGAAAGCTTGTGGAAGGCTACCCGAAACGTTTGACCCAAGTTAAACAATTTAAAGTCAATGCTACCAAATACTAATTGAGTGTATGTAAACTTCTGACCCATTGGGAATGTGATGAAATAAATAAAAGCTGAAATAAGTCATTCTCTCTACTATTATTCTGACATTTCACATTCTTAAAATAAAGTGGTGATCCTAACTGACCTAAGACAGGGAATTTTTACTAGGATTAAATGTCAGGAATTGTGAAAAACTGAGTTTAAATGTATTTGGCTAAGGTGTATGTAAACTTCCAACTTCAACTGTACATACACACACACACACACACACACACGTAACTCCACCTGGCCTATCTGAGGGAAAGGTAGACCCATGACCATATTATAACCAATACGTATCCAATGGTTTTAGATCTATATGAAGTATCTAGAGGTAGAGGGGCTAGGGGTCAATATGGAATCAGATCTCAATCTCTCTCTATCCCACCTCAGACTCCTCTTATCAGGGTCGTAGCTCTCAGGCAGCAGCGAGGCCAGGCTGTGGAAGATGATCACACTAGCGATGGCCTCCTGCTCGGGGTCGTCAGGACCTCTATGGCGCCTCTTCCTGTTGGACGTGTGGTTCCTCAGGGAGGGTTCTGGGAAGGTGTCCAGGTGGGGGTGGCCCTTGGTCTCCACGGGCGGCTCGAAGACGGAGTCCGGGAGGGTGACGGCCGTCTCCTGGTCCTGAGGCCTCAGCCCTCTCAGAGACTGGTAGCGAGGGAGCTTGGCTCCGGCAAAGTTCATCTTCTGGAGGCGATCTACTGAGATGACTGTGGAGAGAACACACACAACACAGGTAGGGTAGGTTAGACAAACCACAACAAAGAGATAAATGGTTAGATCAGGTATATCCTTCAACGCTCCTGGAAGAATAATGAACACATACAGTGAGGGAAAAAAGTATTTGATCCCCTGCTGATTTTGTAAGTTTGCCCACTGACAAAGAAATGATCAGTTTATAATTTTAATGGTAGGTTTATTTGAACAGTGAGAGACAGAATAACAACAACAAAATCGAGAAAAACGTATGTCAAAAATTGTATAAATTGATTTGCATTTTAATGAGGGAAATAAGTATTTGACCCCCTCTCAATCAGAAAGATTTCTGGCTCCCAGGTGTCTTTTATACAGGTAACGAGCTGAGATTAGGAGCACACTCTTAAAGGGAGTGCTCCTAATCTCAGTTTGTTACCTGTATAAAAGACACCTGTCCACAGAAGCAATCAATCAATCAGATTCCAAACTCTCCACCATGGCCAAGACCAAAGAGCTCTCCAAGGATGTCAGGGACAAGATTGTAGACCTACACAAGGCTGGAATGGACTACAAGACCATCGCCAAGCAGCTTGGTGAGAAGGTGACAACAGTTGGTGCGATTATTCGCAAATGGAAGAAACACAAAAGAACTGTCAATCTCCCTCGGTCTGGGGCTCCATGCAAGAACTCACCTCGTGGAGTTGCAATGATCATGAGAACGGTGAGGAATCAGCCCAGAACTACACGGGAGGATCTTGTCAATGATCTCAAGGCAGCTGGGACCATAGTCACCAAGAAAACAATTGGTAACACACTACACCGTGAAGGACTGAAATCCTGCAGCGCCCGCAAGGTCTCCCTGCTCAAGAAAGCACATATACAGGGCCGTCTGAAGTTTGCCAATGAACATCTGAATGATTCAGAGGAGAACTGGGTGAAAGTGTTGTGGTCAGATGAGACCAAAATCGAGCTCTTTGGCATCAACTCAACTCGCCGTGTTTGGAGGAGGAGGAATGCTGCCTATGACCCCAATAACACCATCCCCACCGTCAAACATGGTGGTGGAAACATTATGCTTTGGGGGTGTTTTTCTGCTAAGGGGACAGGACAACTTCACCGCATCAAAGGGACGATGGACGGGGCCATGTGCCGTCAAATCTTGGGTGAGAACCTCCTTCCCTCAGCCAGGGCATTGAAAATGGGTCGTGGATGGGTATTCCAGCATGACAATGACCCAAAACACACAGCCAAGGCAACAAAGGAGTGGCTCAAGAAGAAGCACATTAAGGTCCTGGAGTTGCCTAGCCAGTCTCCAGACCTTAATCCCATAGATAATCTGTGGAGGGAGCTGAAGGTTCGAGTTCTCAAACGTCAGCCTCGAAACCTTAATGACTTGGTGAAGATCTGCAAAGAGGAGTGGGACAAAATCCCTCCTGAGATGTGTGCAAACCTGGTGGCCAACTACAAGAAACGTCTGACCTCTGTGATTGCCAACAAGGGTTTTGCCACGAAGTACTAAATCATGTTTTGCAGAGGGGTCAAATACTTATTTCCCTCATTCAAATGCAAATCAATTTATAACATTTTTGATATGTGTTTTTCTGGATTTTGTTGTTGTTATTCTGTCTCTCACTGTTCAAATAAACCTACCATTAAAATTATAGACTGATCATGTCTTTGTCAGTGGGCAAACGTACAAAATCAGCAGGGGATCAAATACTTTTTTCCCTCACTGTATGTTCCAGTTTATAAACAGTCTACATCATATTGTGTATTTCTCTAACTTATTTTGCATTAAGTGAAAATCATCGCTCCCATATGTTTCAACAATGGCATACCACAGAATACCACTCTTACCTATGTGTGGAGTGATGATGGTGAAGGGGCTGAGGTAGGTCTTCCTCATGTTCTGTGCCAGGATGTTGGCGTACTCCTCATACTGGCGCAGTAGGGCCGCCGTGCCCCCCTCCGTCTGCTGGATCAGCTCCCAGTGTGGCCGTGTGCCCGGGGACAGGATGGCACTGCCCACCCGCACCAGGTTCTGATAGAGGGAGGAGGGCAGGGGGTAAGATAGACAGACTGGCATAGGGTGGTGTTAGGCAAATGTTGTGTGATGTCATCTACAGAGTTTATCTGAGATTTATGTTGTACTGTGTCATGTAGTATTATGCTGTGCGTTACACTGTGCTGTGTAGTGTATTATTGTGTTACCTCAGTGAAGTGGACGTCCTGTGTGGCGGTCAGGCTGAAGCCCTGCTGGTGGCTCTCGTACTGCAGTAGGCTCTGGGTGAGGCGGTAGGCCACCTTCACATCACTGCCGTAGTACTCCACTGTGTGCAGCGTGGCATTGGCCAACATGGCTGCAGTCTGCTGGACACGCCCAGAGTCCAGGAAAGACATGTTACGGGCCAGCTTCTCCGACTGGACCAGAGACAGAGAGAACATTCTTTAAGCACCATTTTACACTTTTGATGAGATATGTATACAGTACCAGTCAAAAGTTTGGACACACCAAGGGTTCAAGGGTTTTTCTTTATTTTTACTATTTTCTACATTGTAGAATAATAGTGAAGACATCAAAACTATTAAATAACACATATAGGTGTGTCCAAACATTTGACTGGTACTGTGTATATATATATATATATATATATATATATATATATATATATATATTGTAAAAGAGACCTTGGTCTCAATGCCTGTTACAATAAAGATAAAATAAAAAGGCTCATCATTCAACTTAATAGCATATGTCACTGAAGTGAATTGATCCATATAAATGTGAGCTAGCTCTAGAGGAGCTGTACACACCAGGGCCTTGAGTTTGGTGAAGGTGACAGAGGTACAGTTGAAGAGGTTGGGGGGCAGCCATCCCTTGTGTTCATCACAGTGGCGGATAGCTGTGCCTGAGAGAGAAAGAGAGAAGGAGGGAATGTGCATGAGGCAGACAGAAGGAGAGTTTCAACCATTCCATTATAGTACGGTAATTACAGTATATACTATTTATTTATTTATTTATTTATTTTACCTTTATTTAACTAGGCAAGTCAGTTAAGAACAAATTCTTATTTACAATGACGGCCTACACCTACTATATAGTATACTACATTCCATTATAGTATGGTAATTAGCTAAGCCACTGAGTCATCGTACCGATAGATCCCTTGGGACAGGAGACGGCTGCAGGGAGACCAAACTTAGTCCTGGGCCACCAGATCCCTGCCTCTATCGCCTGGGGACAACTGTCATAGATCACTGAGAGAGGGGGATAGAAAGAGAGAGGGAGAGAAAGAGGGAGAGAAGGAAAGCTGATCCAATTAATTGTCCAGGTGTAACATATGACAGATAATTAATGATTAAAGCTGCAATATGTAACTTTTTGGGCGACCCAACCAAATTCACATAGAAATGTGAGTTATAGATCTGGCATTCTCATTGAAAGCAAGTCTAAGAAGCAGTAGATCTGTTTGTGCACTATTTGTTATGCTTCCCGTTCTTAAGTTTTGTTTTTGCGTCTTTTACTTTCGTTTTTTTACACCAGCTTCAAAACAGCTGAAAATACAATATTTGTAGTCATTGAAAATATATGTAACAGAGGTTTAGATTGTACAATGATTTTCTGTACATGTTTTGTCACATAAACTGAACTCAAATTGTATTTGTCACATGCGCCGAATACAACAGGTGTAGGTAGACCTTAGTAAAATGCTTACTTACAAGCCCTTAACCAACAATGCAGTTTTAAGAAAAATAAGTGTTAAGTAAAAAATAGATTAAAATATAAAAAAAATTGTAAAATAACAGTAGCGAGGCTATATACAGGGGGTACCGGTACAGAGTCAATGTGTGGGGGCACAGGTTAGTCGAGGTAATTGAGGTAATATGTACATGTAGGTAGAGTTAAAGTGACTATGCATAGATAATAAACAGAGAGTAGCAGCAGCGTAAAGGAGGGGGTGGGGGGAGGGGGGGACAATGCAAATAGTCCGGGTAGCCATTTGATTAGCTGTTCAGGAGTCTTATGGCTTGGGGGTAGAAGCTGTTAAGAAGTCTTTTGGACCTAGACTTGGCGCTCCGGTACTGCTTGCCGTGCGGTAGCAGAGAGAACAGTCTATGACTAGGGTGGCTGGAGTCTTTGACAATTTTTAAGATCTTCCTCTGACACCGCCTGGTATAGAGGTCCTGGATGGCAGGAAGCTTGTCCCCAGTGATGTACTGGGCCGTACGCACTACCCGCTGTACTGCCTTGCGGTCGGAGGCCGAGCAGTTGCCATACCAGGCAGTGATGCAACCAGTCAGGATGCTCTCGATGGTGCAGCTGTAGAACCTTTTGAGGATCTAAGGACCCATGCCAAATCTTTTCAGTCTCCTGAGGGGGAATAGGCTTTGTCGTGCTCTCTTCACGACTGTCTTGGTGTGTTTGGACCATGATAGTTCGTTGGTGATGTGGACACCAAGGAACTTGAAGCTCTCAACCTGTTCCACTACAGCCCTGTCAATGAGAATGGGGGCGTGCTCAGTCCTCTTTTTCCTGTAGTCCACAATGATCTCCTTTGTCTTGGTCACGTTGAGGGAGAGGTTGTTATCCTGGCACCACACGGCCAGGTCTCTGACCTCCTCCCTATAGGCTGTCTCATCGTTGTCGGTGTTCAGGCCTACCACCGTTGTGTCGTCGGCAAACTTAATGATGGTGTTGGAGTCAGAGTACACGTCCTGGTAATCCGTCTGGCCCTGCGGCCTTGTGAATGTTGACCTGTTTAAAGGTCTTACTCACATCGGCTACGGAGAGCGTGATCACACAGTCGTCCAGAACAGCTGATGCTCTCATGCATGCTTCAGTGTTGCTTGCCTCGAAGCGAGCATAGAAGTAATTTAGCTCGTCTGGTAGGCTCGTGTCACTGGGCAGCCCAAGGCTGTGCTTCCCTTTGTAGTCTGTAATAGTTTGCAAGCCCTGCCACATCCGACGAGCGTCGGAGCCGGTGTACTACGATTCAATCTTAGTCCTGTATTGACGATTTGCCTGTTTGATGGTTCGTTGGAGGGCATAGCGGGATTTCTTATAAGCGTCCGGGTTAGAATCCCGCTCCTTGAAAGCGGCAGCTTTACCCTTTAGCTCAGTGCGGATGTTGCCTGTAATCCATGGCTTCTGGTTGGGGTATGTACGTACGGTCACTGTGGGGACGACGTCATCAATGCACTTATTGATGAAGCCAGTGACTGATGTGGTGTACTCCTCAATGCCATCGGAAGAATCACAGAACATATTCCAGTCTGTGCTAGCAAAACAGTCCTGTAGCTTAGCATCTGCGTTATCTGACCACTTCTTTATTGACCGAGTCACTGGTGCTTCCTGTTTTAGTTTTTGCTTGTAAGCAGGAATCAGGAGGATAGAGTTATGGTCAGATTTGCCAAATAGAGGGCGAGGGAGAGCTTTGTACGCGTCTCTGTGTGTGGAGTAAAGGTGGTCTAGAGTTTTTTTCCTCTGGTTGCACATTTAACATGCTGGTAGAAATTAGGTCAAACGGATTTAAGTTTACCTGCATTAAACATTTTACATTTTAGTCATTTAGCAGACGCTCTTATCCAGAGCGACTTACAGGAGCAATTAGGGTTAAGTGCCTTGCTCAAGGGCACAACGACAGATTTTTCACCTAGTCGGCTCGGGGATTAGAACCAGCGACCTTTCGGTTACTGGCACAACGCTCTTAACCACTAAGCTACCTAACCACTAAGTCTCCAGCCACTAGGAACGCCGCCTCTGAATGAGTGTTTTCCTGTTTGCTTATGGCCTTATACAGCTCATTGAGTGCGGTCTTAGTGCCAGCATCGGTTTGTGGTGGTAAATAGACAGCTACGAAAAAAATAGACGATAACTCTCTTGGTAAATAGTGTGGTCTACAGCTTATCATGAGATACTCTATCTCAGGTGAGAAAAACCTTGAGACTTCCTTAATATTAGATTTCGTGCACCAGCTGTTGTTTACAAATATACACAGACCGCCACCCCTTGTCTTACCGGAGGCAGCTGTTCTATCTATGCAGCGTATTTCCCGCCAGCTGTATGTTATCCATGTCGTCGTTCAGCCACGACTCGTTGAAACATAAAATATTACAGTTTTTAATGTCCCGTTGGTAGGATATCCGTGATCGTAGTTCGTTTATTTTGTTATCCAATGGTTGTACGTTGGCTAATAGGACTGATGATAGAGGCAGATTACCCACTCGCCGTCGGATCTTTACAAGGCACCCCCACCTACGTCCCCGATATCTCTATCATGCGAATGACTAGGATTTGGGCCTTGTCAGGTGTCTGAAGAAAATCCTTCGCGTCCGACTCGTTAAAGAAAAAATCTTCGTCCAGTACGAGATGAGTAATCGCGAGATGAGTAATCGCTGTCCTGATATCCAGAAGCTCTTTTAGGTCATAAGAGACAGTGGCAGAAACACTATGTACAAATTAATTTACAAATAATGCGAAAACACACACAATAGCACAATTTGTTAGGAGCCCGTAAAACGGCAGCCATCTCCTCCGGCACCATTCTTAAATTGGGCAAACTATAAGAATTTTAGCAACCAGGAAATGGTAGAGCGATTTCTGCATATTGCACCTTTAATGTTTGCTTGGCACAAAAAAACACTTTTGAAAGGCCTTCTATAACCATGAATTTACTAAATTAGTGAACTAAATTAATCAGTCTGGACTACAGATACATTTCAACCATGATGCAGTTTTATGAAGCATGTAACGTATTGCAATGCTGACCTTCACAGCCGTTGGGCGACACCTCAGCAAAGGGGTTATCACAGCGGTCACACTGGCGCCCAATGACCCCTGGTTTACACTGGCACTGGCCGCTCTCCATCTCACACGCCCGCGAGAAGGAGCCCACTGGGTAACACTCACACAGCAGACACGCATCGCTGCCCTCTGGACGGTAGTGGTTATCCTGAGAAGAGGGAGCGGGATAGAGAGAGAGATAGAGGGGGAGGGAGCAGAAAAGGGAGGGAGGTAGGGGGAAAGGGATGAAAGAGAGAGAAGTACATTTTCCTTGTCATTGAAATACCATCCCACAGTGCAGTTTCATCCATCGCCCCTGTCCACTTCAAACATCCTGACATTGAGACTCAGTAGTCAGCTGGCTCACCTTGCAGCGGCACTCCCCACTGGTCTTGTTGCAGTCGGCATCGAAGCCCTTGTCTGTCTGACAGTCACAGGGACCACAGGTCTTATGTCCCCACCAACCCCTAGGACACGGCAGGTCAGTCCTGAGAAGGGACACACACAGTCAGAAACACGGACAACAGATACACAGACACACTCTGATAGTGTTCTTTATAGTGATATGGACCAAAAAGATAGATTGAGAAAACCAACACACAACTATCGGTGTATAACAAAGATTACCAGGAAGTGATGCAGACAATTACATTGATGGAAGTTACAATCTATCTGCAATATTAAAGCTGATTTACCCCCTAAAAAAAAAAAAAGGTTCTACTCACTTTTTCTCGCAGTACTGCCCAAAGTGGTTGCTGGGACAGTCACAAGTGTAGCCACGGGAGGAGCTAGCCTTCCTGGTGCAGGCTGATTGGTGCTCACAGGGGTTTAGCGCACATACGTCTATGCAGTTATCACCATAGTAACCTGACAGGTAAACAACAAAATAGAAATTCATAAGTTATGCATGGGAGGGATCAACGTAAGGCTACATGGTTGTATTATATGGTTGTAAAATTTAATTATGAAGATGAAGATGATGAAGAGGATGATGATGGTTGGCAGACTGACCGGTGAGGCAGGTGCAGGAGTGGCTGTCCCAGTCATCGCTGCAGTAGCTGTTGGAGGGGCAGGGGTTAGAGACACAGAGGTCTGGTACGCTGCAGCCCTGTTCCATGTTCACCCTCCTGGCCTGAGACATGCTGAGAGACACCGAGCTGGAGGAGGTCTCCCCCACAAGCAGACCCTAAGGAAAACACACAGCAGGGAGAACACACTCAGACACATGGACAGAAAATACAGTGTGAGTGTGTGTGTGTGTGTGTGTGTGTGTGTGTGTGTGTGTGTGTGTGTGTGTGTGTTTGTGAGTGACAAGAGGAGAACTGACCTGGACACAGCCACGGAAGCCATGTCGTATTTTCCCATCAGCCCCAGTGATGCCCCCGACACTCAGAGTATTGACCTTCGCCCCCTTCAGCTTAGTATCCACTTCCATACTGGCCTGGATAGGTAGATCAGATCACACACATTAGATACATTCATATACACTACCGTTCAAAAGTTTGGGGTCACTTAGAAATGTCCTTGTTTTAGAAAGAAAAGCAATATTTTTGACCATTAAAATAACATCAAATTGATCAGAAATACAGTGTAGACATTGTTGATGTTGTAAATGGCTATTGTAGCTGGAAACGGCTGATTTTTAATGGAATATCTACATAGGCGTACAGAGGCCCATTATCAGCAACCATCAGTCCTGTGTTCCAATGGCACGTTGTGTTTGCTAATCCAAGTTTATCATTTTAAAAGGCTAATTGATCATTAGAAAACCATTTTGCAAATATGTTAGCACAGCTGAAAACTGTTGTGCTGATCAAAGAAGCAATAAAACTTCATTAAATAGTACCCGCAAAACACCAGTCTCAACGTTAACAGTGAAGAGGCGACTCCGGGATGCTGACCTTCTAGGCAGAGTTGCAAAGAAAAAGCCATATCTCAGACTGTCCATCTTAATCTTTTCTTTTTATTGGCCAGTCTGAGATATGGCTTTTTCTTCGCAACTCTGCCTAGAAGGTCAGCATCCCGGAATCGCCTCTTCACTGTTGATGTTGAGACTGGTGTATTGCTGGTACTATTTAATGAAGCTGCCAGTTGAGGACCTGTGAGGCGCCTGTTTCTCAAACTAGACACTCTAATGTATTTGTCCTCTTGCTCAGTTGTGCACCGGGGCCTCCCACTCCTCTTTCTATTCTGGTTAGAGCCAGTTTGCACTGTTCTGTGAAAGGAGTAGTACACAGAAGAAGGCCAGTTTTATTGATTCTTTAATCAGCACAACAATTTCAGCTGTGCTAACATAATTGCAAAAGGGTTTTCTAATGATCAATTATCCTTTTAAAATGATAAACTTGGATTAGCAAACACAACGTGCCATTGGAACACAGGACTGATGGTTGCTGATAATGGGCCTCTGTACGCCTATGTAGACATTCCATTAAAAAATCAGCCGTTTCCAGCTACAATAGCCATTTACAACATTAACAATGTCTACACTGTATTTCTGATCAATTTGATGTTATTTTCATGGACAAAAAAATTGCATTTCTTTCGAAAACAAGGACATTTCTAATCTTTTGAACGGTATTGTACACTCAGCTGACTGGCTGTCTACATACTGGCCTAAGTACATAACACTATATTATAACTGCCCTGAATACATACATACTGCATTTCAATTAAATGTCATTAAAATACCGAAGCTACAGTCTGTCTTCTAACAGTGTCTCACCGTGTAGAGTCCGTGGTCGAAAGAGAGCACAGCCTTGTGTCTGGGAGCGCCCCCCGGTACATCCTTCAGCTCCAGCTGTAGATGGTGCCAGTCCCCGTCGTTCACAGTCACCTCCTCCACCCGGGACAGGGTGGAGTCCTCCCCCCTCTGCAGGCCCATCACCACACTGCCCCCCCGTAGCTAGAGAGAGAGAGAGAGAGAGAGCGAGAGAGAGAGAGAGAGAGAGAGAGAGTGGGAGGGAGAGAGAGAGAGTCAATTTGGCATGAGGGTCTGCTATACAAATTGATGGAAAGTGGGGTTGGGGGAAAAACATACGACATGATAAAATCCATGTACACAAACAACAAGTGTGCGGTTAAAATTGGCAAAAAACACACACATTTCTTTCCACAGGGCCGTGGGGTGAGACAGGGATGCAGTTTAAGCCCCACCCTCTTCAACATATATATCAACGAATTGGCGAGGGCACTAGAACAGTCTGCAGCACCCGGCCTCACCCTACTAGAATCTGAAGTCAAATGTCTTCTGTTTGCTGATGATCTGGTGCTTCTGTCACCAACCAAGGAGGGCCTACAGCAGCACCTAGATCTTCTGCACAGATTCTGTCAGACCTGGGCCCTGACAGTAAATCTCAGTAAGACAAAAATAATGGTGTTCCAAAAAAGGTCCAGTTGCCAGGACCACAAATACAAATTCCATCTAGACACCGTTGCCCTAGAGCACACAAAAAACTATACATACCTCGGCCTAAACATCAGCGCCACAGGTAACTTCCACAAAGCTGTGAACGATCTGAGAGACAAGGCAAGAAGGGCCTTCTATGCCATCAAAAGGAACATAAAATTTGACATACCAATTAGGATCTGGCTAAAAATACTTGAATCAGTTATAGAACCCATTGCCCTTTATGGTTCTGAGGTCTGGGGTCCGCTCACCAACCAAGAATTCACAAAATGGGACAAACACCAAATTGAGACTCTGCATGCAGAATTCTGCAAAAACATCCTCCGTGTACAACGTAAAACACCAAATAATGCATGCAGAGTAGAATTAGGCCAATACCCGCTAATTATCAAAATCCAGAAAAGAGCCGTTAAATTCTATAACCACTTAAAAGGAAGCGATTCCCAAACCTTCCATAACAAAGCCATCACCTACAGAGAGATGAACTTGGAGAAGAGTCCCCTAAGTAAGCTTGTCCTGGGGCTCTGTTCACAAACACAAACAGACCCCACACAGCCCCAGGACAACAACAACAACAACACAACTAGACCCAACCAAATCATGAGAAAACAAAAAGAGAATTACTTGACACATTGGAAAGAACAAACAAAAAAACAGAGCAAACTAGAATGCTATTTGCCCCTAAACAGAGAGTACACAGTGGCAGAATACCTGACCGCTGTGACTGACCCAAACTTAAGGAACGCTTTGACTATGTACAGACTCAGTGAGCATAGCCTTGCTATTGAGAAAGGCCGCCGTAGGCAGACCTGGCTCTCAAGAGAAGACAGGCTATGTGCACACTGCCCACAAAATGAGGTGGAAACTGAGCTGCACTTCCTAACCTCCTGCCAAATGTATGACCATATTAGAGACACATATTTCCCTCAGATTACAGCGATCCACAAAGAATTCGAAAACAAACCCAATTTTGATAAACTCCCTTATCTACTGGGTGAAAAACCACAGTGTGCCATCACAGCTGCAAGAGAGAGAGGTGAGGGAATGCAGGAGAGAGAGAAATAACTTATTTAGTATGCATACGTCACATACTCACGGAGTCAGTGAGCTTTTCCTCTCCTCCATATCAGACAATCTATGGTAATACAGTAGTAAAGTAGTTTTAAAATAAACCAACTTTAAAATAGCTGCTGGACGGTTATGACTTCAAAAGAGGTACCTGACTAGACAAACACGACAGCTGCCATCTGAAAGGCCTGAAATGGCAGCTCTCAGATCTCAGGATAAGTAGTTTTTTAGTGGACAGGCTGTCTCAACACCATCAAATATTTAAAGTCATGCTGCTGCCCAGACAGCCAACAGGTGGAGCTTTACAACAACTAACCTACAGTCACTCAAGTTTTAAGTTTCAAGTTTTAATGTCACATGCACAAGTACAGTGAAATTCCTTTATTGCAAGCTCTAAACCCAACAATGCAGTAATCTATATCAATCTAGTACTAAAAATAACAAAGTAGAATAAAAACACACAAGAAATAAGAAACAAGAAGAACACAAGAAAGTAAGAAGGGATACTGAAGTGATAGAGGTAGATATGTATAGGGGTAAAGTGACTAGGCATCAGGATGTATGATAAACAGAGTAGCAGCAGCGTAAATGAAGATTGAATGTGAGTGTGTGTGTGTAGAGTCAGTATAAATGTGTGTGCATGTTATGTGTGTGTTGGAGTATCAGGGTCAACTCACATTGTCCGTGTTGCCATTTTGTTAGCTATTTAGCAGTCTTATGGCTTGGGGATAGAAGCTGTATAGGAGCCTATTGGTGTCAGACTTGATGCACCGGTACCACTTGACATGCAGAAGCAGAGAGAACAGTCTATGGCTTGGGTCTTTACCGATTTGCTGGGCCTTCCTTTCACACTGCCAAAAATATAGAGGTCCTCGATCGAGGGCGGTGCTGTTGCCATACCAAGCAGTGATGCAGCCAGTCAAGATACTCTCAATGGTGCAGCTGTATAACTTTTTGAGGATTCGAGGACCCATGCCAAACTTTGTCAACCTCCTGAGGGGGAAGAGGCGTTGTCGCGCCTTCCTCATGAATGTGTGCGTGTGTGTGGACCATTTTAAAGTCCTTATTGATTTGGACCTCGAACTTGAAGCTCTCGACCCGCTCCACTGCAACCCCGTTGATGTGGGTGGTGGCGTGCTCGACCCCCCATTTCCTGTAGTCCAGGATCAGCTCCTTGGTCTTACTGACGTTAAGGGAGAGGTTGTTGTTTCCGGCACCACACTGCCAGGTCACTGACCTCCTCCCTGTAGGCTGTCTCATCGTCACCAGTGATCAGGCCTACCACCGTCGAATCATCAGCAAACTTGATGATGGTGTTGGAATCGTGCGCAGGTGGGTGAACAGGGAGTACAGGACGGGACTAAGCACATACCCCTATGGGGCCCCCACGTTGAGGGTCAGCGTGGTGGAGGATGTTGCTGCCTACCCTTACTACCTGGGGTCGGTCTGTCAGGAAGTCCATCATCCAGTTGCAGAGAGAGGTGTTCAGTCCTAGGTTCCATGCTTGGTGACGAGCTTGGAGGGGACAATGGTGTTGAACGCTGAGCTGTAGTCAATGAACAGCATGTGAGCTGTTGGAGTCATGATGGGGTTACATGCTACAATGCACTGATCTACTCCAACACCACACTAAGGGGGAAACATGCATAATTGGATAAAAAAAGGAGTGAAAGAAAACAATAATCCCTAGCAAAACGGAATGCGCAAAACCATTGGCTATGTTCTCTTTGCTTCAGAAGGGATCGAATTCTGTATAACTGTATGATATGCAGTATACTGTGTGTAATATAATATGATGTGGCCTACAGTGGCCTGTGGTATACGCCTCTTATTTTACTTCCCTATTCATGGGTCATGTTATTGGAGGTGTATGTATGTGCCAGATTGAGGAGGGCTGATTTGTGATATTGCAGACCTGGCCTCTGCTGGCGTGAGATAGTCGGTAATAATAATAATAATAATACACTGTATTTATATAGCGCTTTTCAAGGATCCAAAGTCACTTTCCAGTTGTAGAAATAATCAAAACAATGCCAGGCTAAACCGAAGGAAGAAAAAAGATTAAACAAAGAGTAGGGAGTAGGGCTCAAGGAAGGGACAGTGTGATGGGTCAGTGCATGAGTGAGTGACCAGGTGTGTGTGTGTGAATTGTCCTACTGTGTTTCTCCCTCTCCTTCCTCACCCTCTTTTCTCGCTCTCTTTCTCCACCCCGCCACTCTGTTGCTCTGCAGCTGTTAATCTGGTATTACTCTGCCTGGTGTTTGGTCTAAAACATTTTGCGCGCAGTAACAATTCAATGAATGATTGAACCAGGAAATTCATTTTATTTTTATTTTTAAACCTACTGTACTATTGTATACATCTAATTTGGTATTGTATTCAAGTTCACTTATGACACCTTGCTTAAGAGGTGGCAGCTCATTTTATCACAACTATGGCATTTATACGGTTTGTGTGGGCGTGTGGGTGAGACCCTGTAGGGTGAGGTTATGTGGGCCGAGACAATGTGGAGTGAGTTAAGTGTGTATTCTCTGTACCTGTAGGGTGAGGTTGTGGTGCTGTCCGGCGCTGACGTGCAGCAAGGTGGCACTAGGCTGGCGTGTGCGGAACATGAGCTCCACATGCCACGGAACGGTCACCACCACCGCCAGGTTAGTCCACTGCAATAGGCTGTTACCCAGGAAACGCTGCGGGTTGGTCATCACTGCAACACACAACCAGAGAGAGGGGGATGAGGGATGAAGAGAAGGAGGGGGAAAGAGAGTGAGCGAGATAGCGAGATAGCAGGAGCGAGACAGATGGATAGAGAGCGAGAGAGATAGCGAGATAGCAGGAGCGAGACAGATGGATAGAGAGCGAGATAGCGAGATAGCAGGAGCGAGACAGATGGATAGAGAGCGAGAGAGATAGAGAGATAGCAGGAGCGAGACAGATGGGTAGAGAGCGAGAGAGTGAATGAGGAAATGGCTGCTATCTAACAAACCGTTGGTGACATGTGACAGTGAGTCAGTACCACTCTCACGTAATATGTTCTGTGATCAAGTCTGAACAACCCAACTCCAATGACTGGCGGCCAGATTACTAGACAGTCTATGATGAATACAGAAAACATCTAATTAAAAAGTCAGTGGAATTAACACCTTGGGAGTCGCTATATGGGTATAACAGTATCTGTGGCAATTTGAAACTCGATAACCATTCAATAAACGAATACTGTACAAACACAGCCAGTAACAGGAGCCAAATACCACAGAGACTTCAACATGCCTCCTACCCCTATTCACTAGTACTTGTGATGAGTGTCAGTCAGATAGCACTCAGGGGTGTGTGTGTGTATGTGTTCACATGCATGTGTATCTGACCTGCAGTCTGTGCATTCTGACAGAGAGGCATTCTGTCCCTTCTTCATGTCAGAGAAAGAGAGGTACTAGTGACACTTTTAGCTGGGTGTTAGACATGTTTTTTCTCTTTCATTAGACCGTGGCACTCTTCACAGAGATGCAAAACACCCCAGTCACACAGACAGGCAACGTCCATCAAAAATTAATGACAAACCAAGCAGCAGCGCTAAGCCTGTCATTGGCTAGAGAGAGAGAGAGAGAGAGAGACCGAGAGAGAGAGAGACCGAGAGAGAGAGAGACAGAGAGAGAGACAGAGAGAGAGAGAGAGACAGAGAGAGAGAGACAGAGAGAGAGAGAGAGAGAGAGAGAGAGAGAGAGAGAGAGAGAGAGAGAGAGAGAGCCCAGGGGACAGTGGTTGTTGTGCAGTCTGGCTCTGGTCTAAAGCTACAAAAATGTTTGAAACATAATCCATGAAAAGGTTGATATTCTCAGTTCCTCACTGCAGTGTGTCAAGCTCCCTCACGACGCCAGGACAGCGGAGTCACTCACCACCTTCCGGAGACATTTGAAACCCCACCTCTTTAAGGAATACCTGGGATAGGATAAAGTAATCCTTCTAGGTAAGTATACTCATGGGATTAACTATGAAAGTACTTTATCCCCCATACTCATGTAGATCCAGAGTCAGCTGTGGTCAGAAAGGATGTGAGATGCCGGGGATTTGCTCCATGGTTATTAGCCGCCGATCCTATGACAAACTGTAAGTTTAAAGGTTATATTTTGATTGTGATCTTTGTAGTGACGTTGAATAGTTAATGGCCTTGGTAGAACATTAACATTCATGCTATTGACACCCACTATCTAAAAAAGACCAGTAGCATGCTACTACACTACAGTACATTATGCTTTCCTCTCTCCCTCGCTTCTTGAGATGGAGTCACATGGGTTAACCTGCTGCACTCTGTTCTTCACCCTCCACTCTTTCCTCCCTCCACTCTTCCCTCCCTCCCTCCCTCCCTCCCTCCCTCCACCTCTTACCCTTTCTCCATCCCTCTTTCATCATCCAGCCTCTCCGTCTCCCCTTAACTGTGAGAAAGAAGTGGTCCTTTATCACTGGATTTCACTCTAAACTAAAACAGGGATGCTTTTGGGTAATTGGCAATTTCTTTAGTAGTTTTCCCTTTTGTCTTCTCTCTCACTCTCTCCCTCTGTCCTCACATGGGGCCTTCCCTCCCTCCCCCTCTCTCTTCAAGCTGTCCCAGCTTGTAAATCAGCAAGTCAAACAGCTGCAGAGCACAGAGGAGCTGAGACGAGAAATGGACACTAGTAATGCTGTTACATACACATAACCCTCTCAAACTGAAAAACTAAATACTTCACCTTAAACATGTCCGAGGTGTTATGTCAGAGTAAATGTTTAAACATATAGCTCTATTAAAATGTAATATGCTCCCTCATGACAGATTCATAAAAGCTTATGGCATATCACATCGCAGCTGTCATACACACAAATGGGACCCTCATAGATCCTTGTGAAATGGCTGGCATAAAACAGTAATACTCAGTATGCACAACAGGCTTACGAAACCATCATGTTAGCAAAATAAAATATGACTGGCTTTATCTGTGCCAGGAAAGAGCCAATGCTAAAAGGATGAAGAGCTTACTTCAGTTATTTAGAGCTCTGCCAATTCCCTCTACGCATCATCATCATATCGCCTGTTCATGGTGTCTATGCAAATGTTTCTGCACTACATCTACACTAGTTCACTCAAAAAGGCATGTTTCAAAATGATAAGAAAATACAATATAGCAGGTGCTCTTAACACCACAGCACTAAGAAGCAAATGAAATGGCGAGTGTCACTGTAACCACCTGGTTGTTGAGTTATGGTACAGTCCATCAACTACAAAGACCCTAGTTAAGTCTAGGTCAGGAGAGCTGGGGGATGTTGTCTGTCTGATGGGTCACTTAGTCCTCCTAATGCACGCTTGTAAAGTCCCTCAACCAAAAGGGTCTATAATGGTAGTAGGTCACGGGGCCAACAAAACCTGGTTAGCTTTGATCTCATGTTTTAACCATATGAGGAAGCTTTCCACCCTCCTGCAATGCTGTTACTTCACTGAACCTAGGGCTCCCGAGTGGTGCAGCGGTCTAAGGCACTGCATCTCAGTGCTTGAGGTGTCACTACAGACCCCCTGGTTCGATTCCAGGCTGTATCACAACCGGCCGTGATTGGGAGTCCCATAGGGCGGCGCACATTTTGCCCAGCGTCGTCCGGGTTTGGCCGGTGTAGGCCGTCATTGTAAATAAGAATTTGTTCTTAACTGACTTGCCTAGTTAAATAAAGGTTAAATAAATAAATAAAAATAAAACACCTCACTTACTCTTCTCGCAGTTCCGGCCTCCGAATCCTAGGGGGCAGTCACAGCTGAAGGAGCCCCACAGGTTGACACAGGTCCCTCCATTCAGACACGGGTTGTTGTTGCAGAAGTGTCTTTTAGCAGAGCATCCTGGGAAGGTATTGGGGATGTGAGGAAAAGTTCCAGCCAACCTCATTATTAACGATTCATAAACTTCCGTTACAATGTAAGATGCATCCACTTCCCCAACACAACTCATACTGTTCTCAACTAAAACAGTAGGCTTGGGTGGATGGCTACAAAATGGTATCAGAATGGTTCAGTCAAATGGCAATGTGCAAGGTTACTGACCTGGTAGGGTGCCGTTGTTAGCGATGAAGCTAGCCATGTCGATGTGGCGGTTGTCGATCCTCAGGTCCTTCATGCAGCCCACAAACTGGCGGTTCTGGATGGGGAAGTCCTCAGGCAGTTTGGGCACCCCCCCCAGGAGGAGAGGACCAGTCAGGTCCAAAGACCTACAGCAGACAGACAGGACACAGACACATTTAGAAGCTGACACAGCTCTGCTTCTATACCGCAACACATCATAAACACTTAGCTCGGCTTCTACTAGCTTGGCTTCTATACCAGAACACATCATAAACACCGAAACAGTGTTCATTAAATATTTATCACAAACATTTTGCAGCTTGATTTTTTTTCAGGGAGGAAAACAGATCAACACCCAACTGAACCAAAATATGTTTACGATGCTTTACATGCTGGAGGTGACAGACTTATTTGAAAATAATTTCTGTAGATAACCCATAATGAGGGCCATGTTTAGCTCAGGAAAGAAAATTGGGATTTCAATTTTTCTCTTGGGGTCATGACAATAGTACACTAGATCAAGAGGTTAAGTTCAGCTTGTGGCAAAATGTAAAAACAGAATTCATGGCAACAAAAGGCTAATATTGCTTTTACTCAACTCTACTATAATCTGTTGACAAATAACATTGCACAATGAAATACCAGTAAGCCCCTCCCATTTCCTTACTTTTTGGATCCTGATTGGCTGCCCTGGGCAGAGCAGGTGTAGTTCCCGATCACATTACCAAACCGCAGCGCCACTGAGGTATCACAGTTGTCCACGGTTACTACGACAACCTTCTGGTCAGAAGGACCCTGGAGCATGCCGGCCTGGTTTAGGATTGGCTGTGAGGAGAGAAGAGGAGTTGTTGAGTTTGGCTCCAGTGTTATGGACAGAACACCTACAGCAGGTGGGGAGGAATTCACCTGACAAACTACTGTAAATAGCAGCACATGGGTGAGAGTTTCTAAACAGTACAGCATTTATAAGTGCCACTATTCCAAATAAAATAAAATGTTCCTTCCTAAATGGGCAATACTGTATGTGTTTGGGCAGAAGGTGGACATATACCAGGTAAGTAGTGTTTGGTTATGGATGGCGAGATAGACAGGAAAAGCACACATTAAGCTATAATGAGCCTTCTGGGAGTGTCCAGAGGAGCATTCTCTGAAAATACATTCACAGGTGCATCTCAAGGACTGCTTGATGCTAAAAATATGGTAATACTTAAGGTTTCTTCTTCAAGTTACAAAAGACAACATTCAAGAATAGAAAAGGCAAGTAAATGTGTGGAATCTTTTGTCTCAGAATATCCATCTCATTGTTTCTTGTGTGTGTCACTGTGAAGTATTTTTGGTTGCTCAGCACATATAAATAGATTGCTTGTCTGCCTGAGGGTTGCTAATTACACATTAAGGTGTGCTACACATCTCAGCAGTGTGATCATAACAAAATCTGTCTTATAAGGTGTCAAAAACATAGTAATCACATTTCTATTTCTATCAAATGCAAAATATCAAGTGTAAAAACTAGCATAAAAAAAAAAACTAACTATCTCATTGAAACATTCACCCTAGAGATAAGGATTTTCTCAAGTTAAGTCAAGTTCTTCAATTAAACAACAAAAGACCTGAAACAATTTCACACATTTAAAGAACTTAAGAAGCTTTAACAATCCTAATGAAAAGTTTGAATCAATTCTGAAGTAATATTCCGCCACTAGCTTTTATGTTCAGACCTACAGTATTCTTAAATATCACCCCAATTTACCTAATCATAATTGTTTTCAGTGCTTCAATAATTTAAAGCCAAAACAGCCACAGTTTAAGTCAGAGGCTAGGACATAACCAAAAGCATAAGAGGCACACACACACACACGGTGGAAAAGCCCGGCTCAGCAGGACAGTAACGGTCTTCTTCTCAACAAAGGATCTCTTTCATTGTGTGAGGAATCAATGGAGGGAGAAACAAGAGGAGGAGGGGCGGAGAGGGGAAGAATAACGGTCCTGTCAATAAAGGTCACAACCTCTTTACAAACACAAGCGTTTCCCCTAGGTCACACAGAGCTCATATTGACCGTCAGCCCAGTTAGAGCTTGTGTCAGCTACGGCTATGCTAGCAGCACTGTAATGAGAGGGGTGACCACCCTCCCACTGTTGACTGACCAGGCCTGGGGCTGGACACTGAGCTGTGGACAGACCAGATAGGATTATTCTCTGTGCAGTGTGGAGTACAAGGAGGATATGATGCCCTGGGTGGCCTGATTGTTGAGAGATGAGGAATGCACGTGATAGGGAGGATTGCGAATATTTTAGAATATTGTCTTGTAAACTAAAAACACAAATAGCTCCACTTATTCATAGCATAACTTCATGTTACCATAAGCCATTTTTGCTACATATTCCTGCAGTTTCCATAATAACTGTCTGAGCCCTTTAATCAAAAGGGGCTAAGAATAAAGACCAGACAAATGGAGTTTAGGTGGGTCTTACACACACAGACACTGCTGACATAACGTATCTAACCAGCTGTAATATTGTAGGTCATGACCGTAGAGTCCCATCCTATCTCCCTGGAGCACTTCGGACTGAGACACTGCCACAGAACTTCTCCCTCACATGGTTCTCATTTCAACCCTGTATCCCCCTATCCAGTGAGTAGATTAGATTATATCTGTGCATGCAGCGTGCTATTAATACAGCTGTCCCATTGAGGGGCTGTCTGTGAGAAGCTGAATACTGGTGGAGTTCATTGTGGGTCTTGTGATCACTGACGGCTGCCTGTGTGTGAGAGAGAAGATGGAGACTTAATTACATTGTTCCACTGCACTGATCAAACATGAGCCCTCCTCTTTAAACACCTCTTCTGTCTCCCATTAGGCATTAGAGGTTTATCTTATTATCATATCTAATAACCGGCAAACAGGATTATTTGCTTTGCTGATTTGAGTCCGAAATACTTGCAAATGGGTTTCATTATTCACAACACACCGGCCTACTAGAAAGGTAGAAAGAACCTATGAACCTCTAAACCTTCCATTCACAAGATTGTTGACCAAAATGTCTTCATCGTTTAGTTGACCCCTGGTGAGGCAGTGGGAAACTAATTTGTTGGGACTCCGAAACAAACAAACCGGCAGTGTGAGATGGTCTGTTAGAATGGTCACACATCAAATCACCCGACACGCTCTTTTCCACAGTTCCCCTCAGTTGAGAAAGGTCCGGAACAGACTGTGGTCCAGATTCGCTGGTTCTTTCACTGACCTACACATTGGGCCATCACTCCCAGCAGCCCCTGGCTCGCTGAACTACAGCCCCCATCAGTCACGGTTGTTGACTCTCCTGTAATGACTCTCTGCTACTGTCTGTCAGCCGCTCTGTCTGCTACACAAAGCCTTGGCCTGTCAGAGATGATTGGAGAGCACATATTTACTCAGGAATACATTAAACACTGTTCCCCTCCCAACGGGGTGACAGGGAATCCTGGGAATATGAGTTCACCATCACCCATGGATAGACAGGAGGGGCATGGGAGCAAACAACAGTAATAGGAGATCTGAGATTGATTGGAAACACCATAGCAACCAGAGAGGTTAGCCCTGAAGCGCAGTGTCCCGCTCAAAGCCCAAGTCAATACTTCTCTCTTGCCTTTCTTTTCCCTCCTTTCGCTCCTCTCCTGCCCAGTTTCTTCGCTCCTCTCCCAGGCACCTTCCCTGGGGCCGCATCATTCACCGCCCATGGTCCCATTGGAGGCCGAGAGAAGCACAAAGGCAGTGATCATTGCCATTCTCCACACTCCCCCTTTCCCCTGAAAGGCACATTTCAATCTAAAATCCGCCCCACCTCATCCCACCTACCCCACGCGGACAGGAACAGGCCTGGGAGGGCCGGTAGGCGTGGGATACCTCAGATGGGAGGAGCCATCATTCTACCTCCATGACTCACTGGATTTGGACCAATGAGCCCATTGCTGCTGCAGCGGCTGAGAATTTTAATTTGGGGGGATTAGTTCAACTAGGCCCCTGAATGATCTCTGGGCAGTTTTCTAGGAATATGTCCCTTCCATTGGTCTGGGCCTCTGCCTAAAATTATGGTTGTTCCATGTTATTGACTTCATGCTTTGTATTGCGCAAATGATGAGTAGGAAACTAGCTGGTAAAATGTGATAGTAAAGAAAACACCTAATCAAAGGCATTACAGTGTAGACGGTGGGCACTCAAGAGGAAACGCTTTGTAGGTCACTGGAGACTGCCATTGTCTGTTTAATTCAAAAACGACTAGGTCAACATTAAAACAAAAGATGGAGACTTTCATTGGACTTGTTGGATTGTAAAAAAAAGTGATTGAGAGAATAATGTCCTCACCAAATACTTTTCCTCCAATGGCTCACGAGAAGTGTTCCCTCACATTCTGCTGGCTGAAATCTGACATGGCCATGTTATCATTGACCATGAATAGAATACCCACACTAGGGAGGTTGCCTAGCAACAGCTTTATGATGCAAAGTGACTTCCTGAATAGACTAAAATGTAACATCCTGTGTGTTGGTCTGGGGGGGGTCTGAAAAGGATGGGTGTAAGGGAGGAAGGGTTAGTGGGGTGGGGGTTATAGTTCCATGCATTCTTCACTGATTGATATGGAAATAAATAAGTTTTGAAGCTTATATCTCGTTTGTATGGAGAGTTTCTTTTATTATATTATTCCTCTGTCTGGCTGTCTCATCCCCCCTCCCTCTCTCCTTTTCTCCCGCTCTCATTCCTCCTATGTCTGTCTGGCACGCTTCCCATTCCACTGTCCCATCAACGGTGGTTCTCTGGAATGACACAGCAGCAGTTCTAACAGGAAGCTGCAAAGTGAACCTCCACAGAGGATTCAGGGTATTCTACTCCCAGTGTGGTCCAACTAGAATCACTACCCTCATCACTCTATAGACAGTCACTGTCAGACACTTAATGAAGTACAGCTGGTCTAGTATAAATGGATATGGAATCAGCAGGACACTAAGTACAGTATAAATGTATATCCAGATCTACCAGAATTTACAGGTATTTCTACTCACAATACTACACAACATTCATAAATCAATTACCGGTATGCAAGTCAATTGCAGGCCAAACATGTTAAGAAAATATGTCTGTTATTTCAAGTCTGTGGTAAGAGACAAACATAATTCAGTTTAGGCATGTACTGTACTGATGTTGGAAATTAACTGCTCTTAGTCCTCCTGCTCAGGGCTTCAGAGTGGGGTCTGATAAAGCCAAGCCTATAGTGGGCCTTTTCGGTACCTAGTCTGACCTTTGCACCACAAAGAGCTCAAGTCAGTCTTTACCTAAAGTAGCAGGAGAAAAAGAAACGCCTGAAACTAGATCCCCTACATACTGGTCTTGGTAAGAAGAAGAAGAAAAAAAAACAGTTGGGGGAGGTTTTCTGCACTGTTCAGCCAATCCAGTAAATGTGGAGGAGGAGTTAAGATGGAGTGTCGCCTTGTTAATAACGTCCAAAAGCAGAAGTCGCGTTAGAGGCTCTCTTTCCATTTCCCTGAAAACAGGAACATCCAGTTGTTGGGGACTCGGCAGAGGCTAGTCTAGACCCAAGTTATATCTCAGCCCAGACCCAGCAAATCTGTGTTTTGTCAACTGTTGAACCAGTCTACATCTTGTAGGATCACAAGGACCAGCCCATCACAGGTTTCTCTCTGACATACCTTGTTGTAGTAGTAAACTTGGACCACATGCCACTGGCCATCACTGACACCTCCAAGGATATACGGTGACACAGTCGTCTTGGTCTCACCTAAAAAAATTTAACAGTCAGCAAAAGTTACTCACACATCATTGAATCAGGGCTTCAGTGTGTCAACACCTGCAACAATAATCACATGATGATATTTCAAAAACAACCAAATGTAGATTTGGGGTAAATTGACTGACGTGCTCTAACAGATCCCCTCCTACCTGCAGAGAAGGTGAGCTGGATCTGCTTGTTGATGATTTCCACACCGATGAAGTCATGCTTCTCGTTGAAGCGGCCATTGTAGAGTAACAAACCGTTTGGTTCCTTTGTGGCGAACCTGGAAGACAGAAAGAAACTGGGCTCACAGAGTGTCCATTCACAGCCAAAGACACCAAGACAGAGTAAACAGTCTTTTCACTGAACAGAGGTCTTTGTGAGGGGAAGAATACACCAAGATGCATTTAAGGCAGTATATTTCTGCACAAAGGATTTTGCCATACTTGTAGTATTGAGGGCATAAGGGCATAATTCTGTAAATATAACTAATTATTTCTGCAATAAATGCATTTTCAACATCCAAATTGAACGTCGAAGATCTCAGCAACATGTCTAAATGGTTCTGTATCAATATGAGGTGTAGCCTTTTACATTTACATTTTAGCCATTTAGCAGAGGCTCTTATCCAGAGCGACTTACAGTTAGTGAGTGCATACATTTTCATACTGGCCCCCCGTGGGAAACAAACCCACAACCCTGGCGTTGCAAGCGCCATGCTCTATCAACTGAGCTACAGGGGACTACCTCTTGCATATAGAACCCCATCCAGTACTCTCGACACAAGGAAGTCAAACAGTGTACTGACTGACATGCCCTACTATAGCAGAGGATACAGATTTTGAACGCAACAGAAAACAACTGTTTTCCTTTCCTATTAGATTACTAGGAGGGCTTATTGATGCACTGTGCCTTATGATTCACCATTGAGGAGCAGAGAGGGCTAGATTTAACAACGCAGCAGTTCTCCATAGATCACTGAGCACCCAACAGGGTTAACTATCCTGAGCACCGTGCTTTGTCTGATACTGAGAATATCTGCAGCTAGGCATGGAGCATGATACACCCCATAAACTCAAAGACAGCATGCCGTGGATAGTGACTACACACAGAGTGAGATGAAAATATGTTCTGATAAGAAGTGACAAACTAATACAATGTCAATGCTACAGCATAATAAACACTACACTACACTGATGCAGGAAGCATAATGCATGTGCAGCCTTTACTGTATAATATGGAAATAATAGACTGAGCTCAGAATGATAATAATGGTTTGCAGCAATGAGGAGATGCAGTATTATTTTAACAAGCAGAGGAGGAACTAGGCAGAACTGAGGTAGTTACTGTATAACCACAGAAAAAAGCATATGATGTTTTCTCAAAGAGGAGTAAATAAAAACAGGCTGCAACTAAACAACCGCAATCTGCATTTACACTTTTATTTCTGAAGAGACAAAGACAAGAAACCTAGTTTATAGTGCCAGGGGTCGTTGTGGTGTTGTCAGTTAATGTCATGTTAACGCACAGTTAGACAAATTTGAACACGCCAGTGCACCTCTGCCTCTCTGGCTTCCTTCCAGAGCCTACACCACTCACGCTCCCGATCGCCTGGGATTCAAGGAACGACAGACACGGTCCAACTGCAGAGACCACAGGGTATAAAATAAAACCACACTGGTTTTACAAAGGCATCAAATAATTGGGTCACATTGAGTTCTAAATGGTCTTAATTTGATTTACCACAAAGGTAAAAATATCTCAGTGGAGCTCATTAAAATCAATGTAAATGAATGACACTGTTACACTACATGATCAAAAGTATGTGGACACCTGCTCATCGAACATCTCATTCCAAAATCATGGGCATTAATATGGAGTTGGTCCCCACTTTGCTGCTATAACAGCATCCACTCATCTGGGAAGGCTTTCCACTAGATTTCCACTACATTAATGCAGGAACTTGCTTCCATTCAGCCACAAGAGCATTAGTGAGGTCGGGCACTGATGTTGGGCAATTAGGCCTGGCTCGCAGTCGGCATTCCAATTCATCCCAAAGGTGTTCGATGGGGTTGAGGTAAGGGCTCTGTGCAGGCCAGTCAAGTTCTTCCACACCGATCAACAAACCATTTCTGTATGGACCTCACTTTGTGCACGGGGGCATTGTCATGCTGAAACAGAAAAGGGCCTTCCCCAAACTGTTGCCACAAAGTTGGAAGAATAGAATATAATTGTATGCTGTAGCGTTAAGATTTCCCTTCACTGAAACTAAGGGGCCTAGCCCGAACCATGAAAAACAGCCCCAGACCATTATTCCTCCTCCACCAAACTTTACAGTTGGCACTATGCATTGGGCCAGGTAGCGTTCTCCTGGCATCTGCCAAACACATATTTGTCCGTCAGACTGTCAGATGGTGAAGCGTGATTGATCACTCCAGAGAACGTGTTTCCACTGCTCCAGAGTCCAATGGCGGCGAGCATTACACCACTCCAGCCGACGCTTGCCATTGCGCATGGTGATCTTAGGCTTGTGTGTGGCTGCTCGGCCATGGAAACCCATTTCATGAAGCTCCCGATGAACAGTTTTTGTGCTGATGTTGCTTCCAGAGGCAGTTTGGTACTCGGTAGTGAGTGTTGCAAGTGAGGACAGACGATTTATACGTGCTATGTGCTTCAGCGGTCCCGTTCTGTGAGCTTGTGTGGCCTACCAGTTCGCGGCTGAGCCGTTGTTGCTCCTAGATGTTTCCACTTCACAATAACAGCACTTACAGTTGACCGGGGCAGCTCTAGCAGGGCAGAAATTTCACAAAATGACTTGTTGGAAAGGTGGCATCCTATGACGGTGCCACGTTGAAAGTCACTGAGCTCTTCAGTAAAGCCATTCTACTGCCAATGTTTGTCTATGGAGATTGCATGGCTGTGTGCTCGATTTTATACACCTGTCAGCAACGGGTGTGGCTGAAATAGCCAAATCCACTCATTTGAAGGGTGTCCATATACTTTTGCATATATAGATTATCTTATAAAATGATATTGCAGCCCAGGCCAAATGCAAAGGTTACCAGATAATTATTAAGCCAGAAAATCGTTTCCCCTCATTCCTGTCCCAAGGGACCACACAGTGGATCTGTTCTGTTTGACACTTTTTTGAAAATTCTGAACATCTGTCGGAGAACTGAGAGCCCTGTCGTCTGTGTGACTGGTGTGACTCGTTGGCGCTTCTAGTCCGCATCTGCCTGTTCAGATGGAGACCCTGTCAGACGGATGAAGCCTACTGACTTCTTTTTCAAATGAGGGTGAGATTCCAGAGATCTGAAATGGTGTCTAGGGATGCTCTTGGAGCATGTTGGGAGACATTTTGGGTGAATGTTGGGAGGATGTGTGCATGTGTCTGTGCGCATGTATGCGTTGTGTGTGTGTGTGTGTGTGTGTCAGTGTGGAAGCGTGCATGCATTATTCTGAGCGTAGCCATGGGGCACAGCACTGCTGACCTGCTTACTGAGGAGAATGATAATCATGACCTCAGAAGAAGAGGGAAGATGAGAAAAACACACAAGCTCCATCTGAATAACACTGAATATCTCAAACAGAATATCTCCTGTGTTATACAGTTGAAATCGGAAGTTTACATACACCTTACCCAAATACATTTAAACTCAGTTTTTCACAATTAATGACATTTAATCCTAGTTTCAAATTCCCTGTTTTAGGTCAGTTAGGATCACCACTTTATTTTAAGAATGTGAAATGTCAGAATAATAGTAGAGAGAATAATTTATTTCAGCTTTTATTTCTTTCATCACATTCCCAGTGGGTCAGATGTTTACATACAGTGGGGAAAAAAAGTATTTAGTCAGCCACCAATTGTGCAAGTTCTCCCACTTAAAAAGATGAGAGAGGCCTGTAATTTTCATCATAGGTACACGTCAACTATGACAGACAAATTGAGGAAAAAATTTCCAGAAAATCACATTGTAGGATTTTTTATGAATTTATTTGCAAATTATGGTGGAAAATAAGTATTTGGTCACCTACAAACAAGCAAGATTTCTGGCTCTCACAGACCTGTAACTTCTTCTTTAAGAGGCTCCTCTGTCCTCCACTCGTTACCTGTATTAATGGCACCTGTTTGAACTTGTTATCAGTATAAAAGACACCTGTCCACAACCTCAAACAGTCACACTCCAAACTCCACTATGGCCAAGACCAAAGAGCTGTCAAAGGACACCAGAAACAAAATGGTAGACCTGCACCAGGCTGGGAAGACTGAATCTGCAATAGGTAAGCAGCTTGGTTTGAAGAAATCAACTGTGGGAGCAATTATTAGGAAATGGAAGACATACAAGACCACTGATAATCTCCCTCGATCTGGGGCTCCACGCAAGATCTCACCCCGTGGGGTCAAAATGATCACAAGAACGGTGAGCAAAAATCCCAGAACCACACGGGGGGACCTAGTGAATGACCTGCAGAGAGCTGGGACCAAAGTAACAAAGCCTACCATCAGTAACACACTACGCCGCCAGGGACTCAAATCCTGCAGTGTCCCCCTGCTTAAGCCAGTACATGTCCAGGCCCGTCTGAAGTTTGCTAGAGTGCATTTGGATGATCCAGAAGAGGATTGGGAGAATGTCATATGGTCAGATGAAACCAAAATATAACTTTTTGGTAAAAACTCAACTCGTCGTGTTTGGAGGACAAAGAATGCTGAGTTGCATCCAAAGAACACCATACCTACTGTGAAGCATGGGGGTGGAAACATCATGCTTTGGGGCTGTTTTTCTGCAAAGGGACCAGGACGACTGAATCATGTAAAGAAAAGAATGAATGGGGCCATGTATCATGAGATTTTGAGTGAAAACCTCCTTCCATCAGCAAGGGCATTGAAGATGAAACGTGGCTGGGTCTTTCAGCATGACAATGATCCCAAACACACCGCCTGGGCAATGAAGGAGTGGCTTCGTAAGAAGCATTTCAAGGTCCTGGAGTGGCCTAGCCAGTCTCCAGATCTCAACCCCATAGAAAATCTTTGGAGGGAGTTGAAAGTCCGTGTTGCCCAGCGACAGCCCCAAAACATTACTGCTCTAGAGGAGATCTGCATGGAGGAATGGGCCAAAATACCAGCAACAGTGTGTGAAAACCTTGTGAAGACTTACAGAAAACGTTTGACCTGTGTCATTGCCAACAAAGGGTATATAACAAAGTATTGAGAAACTTTTGTTATTGACCAAATACTTATTTTCCACCATAATTTGCAAATAAATTCATAAAAAATCTTACAATGTGATTTTCTGGAATTTTTTTCCTCAATTTGTCTGTCATAGTTGACGTGTACCTATGATGAAAATTACAGGCCTCTCTCATCTTTTTAAGTGGGAGAACTTGCACAATTGGTGGCTGACTAAATACTTTTTTTCCCCACTGTACACTCAATTAGTATTTGGTAGCATGGACTTTAAATTGTTTAACTTGAGTCAAACGTTTCAGGTAGCCTTCCACAAGCTTCCCACAATAAGTTGGGTTCATTTTGGTTCAGGTTTGTAGGCCTCCTTGCTCGCACACGCTTTTTCAGTTCTGCCCACACATTTTCTATAGGATTGAGGTCTGGGCTTTGTGATGGCCACTCCAATACCTTGTTGTTCTTTAGCCATTTTGCCACAAATTTGGAAGTATGCTTGGGGTCATTGTCCATTTGGAAGACCCATTTACGACCAAGCTTTAACTTCCTGACTGATGTCTTGAGATGTTGCTTCAATATCTCCACATAATTTTCCTTCCTCATGATGCCATCTATTTTGTGAAGTGCACCAGTCCCTCTTGCAGCAAAGCACCCCCACAGCATGATGCTGCCACCCCGTGCTTCACAATTGGGATGGTGTTCTTCAGCTTGCAAGTCCCTCTTTTTCCTCCAAACATAACGATGGTCATTATGGCCAAACAGTTCTATTTTTGTTTCATCAGACCAGAGGACATTTCTCCAAAAAGTAAGATCTTTGTCCCCATGTGCAGTTGCAAACCTTAGTCAGGCTTTTTTATGGCGGTTTTGGAGCAGTGGCTTCTTCCTTGCTGAGCGGCCTTTCAGGTTAGGTCGATATAGGACTCGTTTTACTGTGGATATAGATACTTGTGTACCTGTTTCCTCCAGCATCTTCACAAGGTCCTTTGCTGTTGTTCTGGGATTGGTTTGCACTTTTCGCACCAAAGTACGTTCATCTTTAGGAGACAGAACGCGTCTCCTTCCTGAGCGGTATGACGGCTGTGTGGTCCCATGGTGTTTATACTTGCGTACTATTGTTTGTACAGATGAACATGGTACCTTCAGGCATTTGGATATTGCTCCCAAGGATGAACCAGACTTGTGGAGGTCTACCATTTTTTTTCTGAGGTCTTGGCTGATTTCTTTTGATTTTCCCATGATGTCAAGCAAGGAGACACTGAGTTTGAAGGTAGGCCTTGAAATTCATCCACAGGTACACCTCTAATTGACTCAAATGATGTCAATTAGCCTATCAGAAGCTTCTAAAGGTCATTTTCTGGAATTTCCAAAGCTGTTTAAAGGCACAGTAAACTTCTGACCCACTGGAATTGTGATACAGTGAATTATAAGTGAAATAATCTGTCTGCAAACAATTGTTTGAAAAATTACTTGTGTCATGCACAAAGTAGATGTCCTAACCGACTTGCCAAAACTATAGTTTATTAAGAAGAAATTTGTGGAGTGGTTGAAAAACGAGTTTTAATGACTCCAACCTAAGTGTATGTAAACTTCCGACTTCAACTGTATCTTATGCTAATATTAATCAGAGCAAAAATGGTTATCATCAAGAAATTGTACTAGTCATCAATGAATAGGTTTCAAAGGCTTGTGTACACCTCTTCAAGATCCCCCCGGACTGAGTGCAATCAACCATAATATAACTGACTCCACTGGCAACATTATATGTCACATTAGGCAGCCATTTACAAAGATAACAACCAGTCCACCCATATTAAAGTATAGAAGGGTGATGCCCACGGTGTAATGGCAAGTTGATGTAGCTGTATCAGACATGATGGGTGTGGTGTTTCCATGTCAATCAGAGGAACATGACATGAATACTAACAATGTGTCACGCCCTGACCTATAGAACTCTTGTTTGTTGAGTCAGGGTGTGGAATTCTGTTTATGTTCTAGTTAGTCTATTTCTATGTTGCAGTTCTAGGTTGTGTTTCTATGTTTGGCCGGGTGGGATTCCCAATCAGAGACAGCTGTCGCTCGTTGTCTCTGATTGGGGATCATACTTAGGTAGCCCATTGCCGACTGTGTATTGGTGGGATCTTGTTCCTGTTAGGCTGGTATGTGTATAGCCTTTTGGACTTCATGTTACATTGTTTCTTGAATGTTTATTTAGTTAATAAACATGTACGCTTTTCACGCTGCACCTTGGTCCGACCCGTCTCTCAACATTCGTGACACAATGTGAGAGGTAATATTAAAATATGTGATAAAAATGTTGCTCCTAAGACGGTTTCTGGTAACCAGGTCTCCATCCAACCTTTTTATGCGAGTAAAGTACATGTTGGATAAAACATGTCACGACAGGCCTGATGGAAACAAATAAAAATAACCTTGCTCCTGTTGTCCATAATAATATCATATAGTAGGCTATACCCACACTGTATCTGCAAGTTGTTAGCTAGAGCACACGTGCCAAGACCAGAGTGGGCACATTTGCTACAGAACCCAACATGTTTTGTGAAAAAAACATCAGTAGAGTTGAAAATGCGATGGAAACCCATTTAACCTGCATTCTTTATTCGGTACATGGGAATTTAACCGCAAAAGTTATTTTATGTGCACTACGTCATCATGCAGTCTTTTATCAACAGCAAGTCAATTTGATGGAAACACTTCTCTGGTGTGAAAATGCACATATTGTTTTTATGCAGATTTTATAATATTCACATGAAAATCTGTCGCCAATTGGATGGAAACCTAGCTATAGACACATTTTCAGCTCTCCCCTTCCCCTCACACTTTCAACACACTTCCTGCTCCCTCTTCCTGCTAACTATCTCTACTGCAGTCCAGTCTACAGGCTCCAACTCACTGGGAGGATTCCCCATGAGAAAAGCTCTTTACGACAGTAACTTGATCAAGCCAGGTTCAGGTAACAGAGATGCCTGACAGACAGCCTGCTGGGTCTTAGCTGTTATATCCCCAGCTTTACACCCCGCCTTCTTCACAGCTCTGGCAGCAATCTGGGAACTACCATCCAATGCTTTTAAGAAACAGGTCGGAGCAATTCTAAATCCAAAAAGACTGCCATCCGAGCCACATTTAAAGCAAGGCCACCACTTCCATAAAACTCAAAGGCGTATCAATATCACCTCTAGCCATTAACAGCTAGTTTCAAGCCCTGCCAAGCACTTCTAGAGAGACAACACATTACAAAGGTAGATACAAATGCCAATTCTGACAGTGATAGCAACTGGGGGTATTGTCTTTGCTATGATTGTCACTTGGGATGAAGAATATAATTAATATCAATGTAGCCTCGTCTCATTCACATGAATGTACACTACCGTTCAAAGGTTTGGGGTCACTTAGAAATGTCGTTGTTTTCGAAAGAAAAGCAATTTTTTGAGTTGCAAAGAAAAAGCCATATCTCAGACTGCCCATCTTAACCTTTTATTTTTATTGGCCAGTCTGAGATATGGCTTTTTCTTTGCAACTCTGCCTATAAGATCAGCATCCCGGAGTCGCCTCTACACTGTTGACGTTGAGACTGGTGTTTTGCGGGTGCTATTTAATGAAGCTGCCAGTTGAGGACCTGTGAGGCGCCTGTTTCTCAAACTAGACACTAATGTATTTGTCCTCTTGCTCAGTTGTGCACCGGGGCCTCCCACTCCCCTTTCTACTTGGTTCTGTGAAGGGAGTAGTACACAGCGTTGTAGGAGATCTTCAGTTTCTTGGCAATTTCTTGCATGGAATAGCCTTCATTTCTCAGAACAAGAATAGACTGACGAGTTTCAGATGAAAGTTCTTTGTTTCTGGCCATTTTGAGCCTATAATTGAACCCACAATTGCTGATGCTCCAGATACTCAACTAGTCTCAAGAAGGACAGTTTTATTGCTTCTTTAATCAGCACAACAGTTTTCAGCTGTGCTAACATAATTGCAAAAGGGTTTTCTAATGATCAATTAGCCTTTTAAAATGATAAACTTGGATTAGAAAACACAACGTGCCATTGTACGTCTATGTAGGGCCTCTGTACGTCTATGTAGATATTCCATTAAAAATCAGCCGTTTCCAGCAACAATAGCCATTTACAACATTAACAATGGCTACACTGTATTTCTGATCAATTTGATGTTATTTTAATGGACAAAAAAATTGCTTTTCTTTCAAAAACAAGGACATTTCTAAGTGACCCCAAACTTTTGAACGGTAGTGTACTTTAGTGTGATTGACTGTGTTCGGTGATTAGTCTTCATCGGTTTAATTTCAAAACACCACCCTCCCCTGGCACCTTCTAACAAGATACTAGGCTGTGAATTTGGTCTTAAAATACAACTTGCTGTACCTGTATCAGACAAATGTCACCCATTATGAATTAGTGCTGAAACTGGATGGCTGTCAATTGAGAGCGAATACATGTTTCCAAAGTATCTAGGCATCCCAGGATGAGGGCACCCTAGGTGTAGGATTTATTAGCAAGACACACATGCAACTGCACACACACAAACCCTAGGGGCAGACAGTGCATATCTCCAGATTCACCTCGATGAGAGCAACTGAGGAGGAGAAATAGGCCATGCGATGACTCACTGCTCAAAGTCAACACTGAGTGTAATAAGATCAGACTCCTGGGTCTCAGATGAATGTCCTCGGTTAGGCAATGAGCCAGTCCAGAAACAGTAAGTCCTCAGGCAGCTGGGCTTCTTCTCCTTCACCCCCATTAGAAACCTCTCTCTCTATACATACATACAGTGCCTTGCAAAAGTATTCATCCCCCTTGGCATTTTTCCTATTTTGTTGCATTACAACCTGTAATTTAAATGGATTTTTATTTGGATTTCATGTAATGGACATACACAAATAGTCCAAATTGGTGAAGTGAAATGAAAAAAATTAATAGTTTAAGAAAATTCTACAAAATAAATAACGGAAAAGTGGTGTGTGCATATGTATTCACCGCCTTTGCTATGAAGCCCCTAAATAAGATCTGGTGCAACCAATTACCTTCAGAAATCACATAATTAGTTAGAGTCCACCTGTGTGCAATCTAAGTGTCACATGATCTGTCACATGATCTCAGTATATATACACCTGTTCTGAAAGGCCCCAGAGTCTGCAACACCACTAAGCAAGGGGCACCACCAAGCAAGCGGCACCATGAAGACCAAGGAGCCCTCCAAACAGGTCAGGGACAAAGTTGTGGAGAAGTACAGATCAGGGTTGGGTTATAAAAAAATATCTGAAACTTTGAACATCCCACGGAGCACCATTAAATCCATTATTAAAAAATGGAAAGACTGTGGCACCACAACAAACCTGCCAACACAGGGCTGCCCACCAAAACTCACGGACCAGGCAAGGAGGGCATTAATCAGAGAGGCAACAAAGAGACCAAAGATAAGCCTGAAGGAGCTGCAAAGCTCCACAGCGGAGATTGGCGTATGTCCATAGGACCACTTTAAGCCGTACACTCCAGAGCTGGGCTTTACGGAAGAGTGGGCAGGAAAAAGCCATTGCCTAAAGAAAAAAATAAGCAAACAAGTTTGGTGTTCGCCAAACGGCATGTGGGAGACTCCCCAAACATATGGAAGAAGGTACTCTGGTCAGATGAGACTAAAATTGAGCTTTTTGGCCATCATGGAAAACGCTATGTCTGGCGCAAACCCAACACCTCTCATCACCCCGAGAACACCATCCCCACAGTGAAGCATGGTGGTGGAAGCATCATGCTATGGGGATGTTTTTCCATCGGCAGGGACTGGGAAACTGGTCAGAATTGAAGGAATGATGGATGGCGCTAAATACAGGGAAATTCTTGAGGGAAACCTGTTTCAGTCTTCCAGAGATTTGAGACTGGGACGGAGGTTCACCTTCCAACAGGACAATGACCCTAAGCATACTGCTAAAGCAACACTTGAGTGGTTTAAGGGGAAACATGTAAATGTCTTGGAATGGCCTAGTCAAAGCCCAGACCTCAATCCAATTGAGAATCTGTGGAATGACAAAAATCCCTGTTGCTAGATGTGCCAAGCTTATAGAGAGATACCCCAAGAGACTTGCAGTCTGTAATTGCTGCAAAAGGTGGCTCTACAAAGTATTGACTTTGCATCTTCAAAGTGGTAGGCATGTTGTGTAAATCAAATGATACAAACCCCCAAAAAATCTATTTTAATTCCAGGTTGTAAGACAACAGAATAGGAAAAAGGCCAAGGGGGGTGAATACTTTCGCAAGCCACTGTACATACATACATACAAGCCATAAGACTCCTGAACAGCTAATCATGGCTACCCGGACTATTTGCACTGCCCCCCCACCCCATCCTTTTTACGCTGCTGCTACTCTGTTAATTATTTATGTATAGTCACTTTAACTCTACCCACATGTACATATTACTTCAACTATCTCAACTAGCCGGTGCCCCCGCACATTGACTCTGCACCGGTACCCCCCTGTATATATAGCCTCCCTACTGTTATTTTATTTTACTTCTGCTCTTTTTTTCTCAACACTTTTTTTGTTGTTGTTTTATTTTTACTTTTTTTGTTAAAAATAAATGCACTGTTGGTTAAGGGCTGTAAGTAAGCATTTCACTGTAATGTCTGCACCTGTTGTATTCGGTGCATGTGACCAATAAAATTTGATTTGAAGTCGGAAGTTTACATACACTTAGGTTGGAGTCATTAAAACGTGTTTTTCAACCACTCCACACATTTCTTGTTAACAAACTATAGTTTTGGCAAGTCGGTTAGGACATCTACTTTGTGCATGACACAAGTAATTTTTCCAACATCATTTGAGTCAATTGGAGGTGTACCTGTGGATGTATTTCAAGGCCTACCTGCAAACTCAGTGCCTCTTTGCTTGACATCATGGGAAAATCAAAAGAAATCAGCCAAGACCTCAGAAAACAAATTGTAGACCTCCACAAGTCTGGTTCATCCTTGGGAGCAATTTCCAAACGCCTGAAGGTACCACGTTCATCTGTACAAACAATAGTACGCAAGTATAAACACCATGGGACCACGCAGCCGTCATACCGCTCAGGAAGGAGACGCGTTCTGTCTCCTAGAGATGAAGATACTTTGCTGCAAAAAGTGTAAATCAATCCCAGAACAACAGTAAAGGACCTTGTGAAGATGCTGGAGGAAACAGGTACAAAAGTATCTACAGTAAAACGAGTTCTATATCGACATAACCTGAAAGGCCGCCCAGCAAGGAAGAAACCACTGCTCCAAAACCGCCATAAAAAAGCCAGACTACGGTTTGCAACTGCACATGGGGACAAAGATCGTACTTTTTGGAGAAATGTCCTCTGGTCTGATGAAACAAAAATAGAACTGTTTGGCCATAATGACCATCGTTATGTTTGGAGGAAAAAATGGGGGGGCTTGCAAGCCGAAGAACACCATCCCAACCGTGAAGCACGGGGGTGGCAGCATCATGCTGTGGGGGTGCTTTGCTGCAGGAGGGACTGGTGCACTTCACAAAATAGATGGCATCATGAGGAAGGAAAATTATGTGGATATATTGAAGCAACATCTCAAGACATCAGTCAGGAAGTTAAAGCTTGGTCGCAAATGGGTCTTCCAAATGAAACGACGACCCCAAGCATTCTTCCAAAGTTGTGGCAAAATGGCTTAAGGACAACAAAGTCAAGGTATTGGAGTGGCCATCACAAAGCCCTGACCTCAGTCCTATAGAAAATATGTGGGCAGAACTGAAAAAGCGTGTGCGAGCAAGGAGGCCTACAAACCTGACTCAGTTACACCAGCTCTGACAGGAGGAATGGGCCAAAATTCACCCAACTTATTGTGCGAAGCTTGTGGAAGGCTATCCGAAACGTTTGACCCAAGTTAAACAATTTAAAAGCAATGCTACCAAATACTAATTGAGTGTATGTAAACTTCTGACCCACTGGGAATGTGATGAAAGAAATAAAAGTTGAAATAAATCATTCTCTCTACTATTATTCTGACATTTCACATTCTTAAAATAAAGTGGTGATCCTAACTGACCTAAAAGAGGGAATTTTTACTAGGATTAAATGTCAGGAATTGTGAAAAACTGAGTTTAAATGTATTTGGCTAAGGTGTATGTAAACTTCCGACTGCAGCTGTACATACATACATACATACATACATACATACTCACCATGCTCAGGGAACCCCAAAACAGCTAGAAGAGATTAGACTTTTAAAGACTACAGCTATTCAATTATTCAATAACTGTTATGAAACACCAGGACGCTTATGCTAATGAGAGGACGGAGGAATAATCATGCATCACAGGCCATTAGAAGTGTGAGAGTGTAAGAGCAGTTGTGGGATACTTGAGAGAGAGAGAGAGTATGTGTAGTGTTAGAGAGAAAAGGAGTCATAAAAAAAGAGAGAAAGAGGGAGTAGTAGTGGGAGTAAGGATGAGAGAGGTGGAGTGAGTCACAGTAGTATATTTAAACAATAAGGCCTGAGGGGGTGTGGTATACAGTGAGGGAAAAAAGTATTTGATCCCCTGCTGATTTTGTACGTTTGCCCACTGGCAAAGAAATGATCAGTCTATAATTTTAATGGTAGGTTTATTTGAACAGTGAGAGACAGAAAAACAACAAAAAAATCCAGAAAAATGCATGTCAAAAATGTTATAAATTGATTTGCATTTTAATGAGGGAAATAAGTATTTGACCCCCTCTCAATCAGAAAGATTTCTGACTCCCAGGTGTCTTTTATACAGGTAACGAGCTGAGATTAGGAGCACACTCTTAAAGGGAGTGCTCCTAATCTCAGCTTGTTACCAGTAGAAAAGACACCTGTCCACAGAAGCAATCAATCAATCAGATTCCAAACTCTCCACCATGGCCCAAGATCAAAGAGCTCTCCAAGGATGTCAGGGACAAGATTGTAGACCTACACAAGGCTGGAATGGGCTACAAGATCATCGCCAAGCAGCTTGGTGAGAAGGTGACAACAGTTGGTGTGATTATTCGCAAATGGAAGAAACACAAAAGAACTGTCAATCTGGGGCTCCATGCAAGATCTCACCTCGTGGAGTTGCAATGATCATGAGAACGGTGAGGAATCAGCCCAGAACTACACGGGAGGATCTTGTCAATGATCTTAAGGCAGCTGGGACCATAGTCACCAAGAAAACAATTGGTAACACACTACGCCGTGAAGGACTGAAATCCTGCAGCGCCCGCAAGGTCCCCCTGCTCAAGAAAGCACATATACATGCCCGTCTGAAGTTTGCCAATGAACATCTGAATGATTCAGAGGAGAACTGGGTGAAAGTGTTGTGGTCAGAATAGACCAAAATGGAGCTCTTTGGCATCAACTCAACTCGCCGTGTTTGGAGGAGGAGGAATGCTGCCTATGACCCCAAGAACACCATCCCCACCGTCAAACAAGAAGGTGGAAACATTATGCTTTGGGGGTGTTTTTCTGCTAAGGGGACAGGACAACTTCACCGCATCAAAGGGACGATGGACGGGGCCATGTACTGTCAAATCTTGGGTGAGAACCTCCTTCCCTCAGCCAGGGCATTGAAAATGGGTCGTCGATGGGTATTCCAGCATGACAATGACCCAAAACACATGGCCAAGGCAACAAAGGAGTGGCTCAAGAAAAGCACATTAAGGTCCTGGAGTTGCCTAGCCAGTCTCCAGACCTTAATCCCATAGAACATCTGTGGAGGGAGCTGAAGGTTTGAGTTGCTAAACATCAGCCTCGAAACCTTAATGACGTGGAGAAGATCTGCAAAGAGGAGTGGGACAAAATCCCTCCTGAGATGTGTGCAAACCTGGTGGCCAACTACAAGAAACGTCTGACCTCTGTGATTGCCAACAAGGGTTTGCCACCAAGTACTAAGTCATGTTTTGCAGAGGGGTCAAATACTTATTTCCCTCATTAAAATGCAAATCAATTTATAACATTTTTTACATGCGTTTTTCTGGATTTTGTTGTTGTTATTCTGTCTCTCACTGTTCAAATAAACCTACCATTAAAATTATAGACTGATCATTTCTTTGTCAGTGGGCAAACGTACAAAATCAGCAGGGGATCAAATACTTTTTTCCCTCACTGTATGGCCAATATACCACGGCTAAGGGCTGTTCTTATGCACGACGCAACTCGGAGTGCCTGGATACAGCCCTTAGCTGTGGTATATTGGCCATATACCACAAACCCTGAGGTGATTTATTGCTATTATAAACTGGTTGCCAACGTAATTAGAGCAGTAAAAATAAAATGTTTTGTCATACTTGTGGTATATGGTCTGATATACCACGGCTGTCAGCCAAATCAGCATTCAGGGCTCGAACCAACCAGTTTATAATGACGGATATTCTTCTGTCCTATGAAAGTGAATGATTGAGATGGCCATGTGACACTGTGTGGGGTGGTTGTTGTACGTACGAGAGAGAGAGGGTGAAGTGGAAGCGCTGGCGGAGGCCCTTGAAGGTGAGGAAGGACTGCAGGGGGAAGTTCCTGGTGGTCATCTCACAGTAGGGCTTTTCATAACCGCCAGACGGACACTCACACTTGAACCCTCCCACCAGAAGGTTCACACAGGTGCCCCCGTTCTTACACACACCTGGGGCACAACGCCCAGAGCGGCACGACAGCTCACACCACTTGCCTGGAGGAAGAGATAGATGGACAGAGAAAGAGAGAGAGTGGTGGAGAGAAAGTGAAACGAGTCAGAATTAACCAGTATCAAGGTGACAAATGACAGTGCCAGCCCTGGACAGTCTATGTGGGTTAAAACCATTGGTCGTCCTTTCCAGTTCAACTTTACTAGTGTAAATTCTCACCACACCACTGCTGCAGTTCAATATGGGGCATGACAAGATGCCTCCAACACTTAGCACCCGAGCCGTGAGGGAGAGGGGGAAAGAGAACATGAGAGAGCGAGGCAGAGATGGAGAAGAGAGGTCAAAGGAGGCAGTAAGGAAGAGAGAGATTTCAGACAGTCTAAGAAAAAAAGAGAGAGAAACTCAGACAGCGAGTGAAAGAGAGAGGGAGTCACAGAGTGCTATCTATGGCAGGGGGAAACTGTGTCACTGTTAGTAAGCCTCCATGCTTTGTGTAGCCCTGCCCTGTGCTCACAACTTCTATTTGTCTCCAGTCTCTGGATGAGAGGCTGCAGTTGCTATGTCAAGACTGCACGCCTCCTTGCACGAGCTGGAATTTGTGTCAGAGCCGCTCAGCAGCATGGAACACTTCCGCTGTGTGTCGTGTTACTGTACTGTCCTGTATACACCACACAGACAAAGACAACATCTCTATAGACTATAGATACACAGGGCTTGTGTTGTACATACTCGCTAATCACAGGATTCTCAGTCTAAGACAATTAAGGACCCCCTTTGTTTCACTACTGTTGTAGGGTGCATTCATTCCTTCATTCATGTATTTATTCATTCAACTGCAAGGTTGTTGTGCTCATTATGGATTACACTTTGATAAGATGTGAATTAAAACATGTTATCCTATGCTGACTGTACTGTTACAGAAGAACAGTCACTTTGCTCTGGTGAACCATGACAATGTGTTGCCGTTTTCTTGTTGATGGCGCTTGGGGACAATTGGCTACTGCTAGCCACCCAGAAACAGAAAAAAACTATAGCTGCATGAGTCGTGTGGAAATTAATCAGCGAATCGCCTCGGGCAACACGTTACTTCTGTCTCTTTAAACAAATGAGGGGAAGATGGGACATTTAGTCATAGCTTGATGTGGTCAAATATTGCTGCAGCCAACACTGGGCTATTGTAGGAAAGTGGGACACTGGGATAGTAGTCTACTTCCTCTAAAGTCACCTTGGGCTCTACAGTGGCCTTATTCTCACTGAGGAGGCTTCAAAGTTAAATGTTCTGTATTACAGAGTTATCAAAAGAGAAGTATTATTTTTAATGCAGAAATTAAGGGGAAAGGGGCTATCCGTTTTTTGATTCAGTTACTAAGAAACCTATATGCAATCCTCTTACACTCAAACCGGAAATATTTTTATATTCTGTTTACCCCAAAATACCTTCCAGCACAGCTACACATGCTACTCTAGTGGATATATCCCAATGTAGGTGTCTATAAAACATACAGAAGCCAGTAATAGACATTAGTGAGCATCCGGTCTCCGCCTGAGTCTGTTCTGTTGTCTGTTCTGTTGTCTATATGGTAACCTGAGAATAAACAGAGCCAGTTTTTTCTGTCAGGCATCCCTCTGGGACGCCCACCCGCCACAGGTGCAGGGTCCTGGAACAACAGCTCTGGGTTGCTAGGTGAACTGAGCCATGTGACAATGGGAGGAGCTTGCCAGAGAGTCACTATTCCAGAGAACACCCCAATCAATTATTTAGAAAGCATTTCCTCCGCTCTAGTTGCACCCCTTCAGATCCCCTCCCCCCCGTTCCTCCCCAACTTTCTGTTTACTGCCAGCATGAAACACTAAGGCTGTCAAAATGTGCAGGGACCCTGGAAATGGTGCCGCTCGGTTTTAGGGAGGAGGAGATGCTCTGCTGTTGTGAGTCCACACACGTGACGGTCATGGAATTTTGAATGACCGTAATTGGCCAGCCAAATGACCAGTCTCCGTAATAACCGTTAGAATAGCAAAAAATTAAAATAAACATCTCCTTTCCTCCACTCCTGACTACATGTGATGCCATAGAAATAGAATGAATAGAACGGGAGAATGAGTGGACTGGTGGGCATTGGGAGTGAACTTGGGGCCATATAAATTCCTCAATGCGGAGAAGGAGGACGGAATCACGGAATCCAGACATTAAAATGGAATTCAACAACATCGGTATTCAAAAATGTATTGAACTTTAGTAGGAAATCAAATAAATGTATTGAACTTATTAGAAAATTCAGTGCCTTCAGAAAGTATTCACACCCCTCGACTTTTCCCACTTTGTTGTTACAGCCTGAATTGTTAGGTGTAAAATTGTGTGACTAAGATCTCCTCAACAAAAACTTTAAAATGAATGACACATTTCTTGAGTTATCATAATTTATTAATTTCAGACTATTTTGAGGAAGTGTATACTGGCTACGACGTCTCAAGATGGACAAACAGTACTATTGCCGCTTTTTTCTCGTTTTTCAAGCAAAGGTCTTTTAAGGGAGTATGCGAGCTAACCCGTTTGGTTCACCAAAGCATGTGGAAGGCTTACACAGATGAGGGATCTGGAGACACATCTCCAACCACCATATATCAAAACTGAGTTGACAAGGCATTCAGATAAAAAAATGAGGTTCTGTCCAGACATCCAAAAAAGTATTTTCTATGCAACAAAGAATGTGCAGGGGGATTAAAAGCTGTGCTGTAACTAACTCCTCCTGCGGAGACTCCTCTACAGACCTCCTAAAGTGGAAAGGGTGTTTCTGTGCTGCTAGGTAACTGAAACGCATGGTCTCCTCTCCTAAATGAAACAGAGTGCTATAGAGTCCTCATATCGGCACAGTCTCTCCCTCAGGATATGCTGAAGGCAGAGAGGAAGGCAGTTAAAAGAACTCAACGCTGGGTCGACCCACTCAACAGGGCTTACTTAACAAACATACTGTCAGTCTGCTGTGAGAATACACTTGACATGTACACTGAGTGTACAAAACATTAAGGACACCTTCCTAATATTGAGTTGCACCCCCCACCCCCCCATTTTGCCCTCAGAACAGCCTCAATTCGTCGGGGCATGGACTCTACAAGGTGTCGAAAGTGCTCCACAGGGATGCTGGCCCATGTTGACTCCAATGCTTCCCACAGTTGTGTCAAGTCGGATGGATGTCCTTTGGGTGGTGGACCATTCTTGATACACACGGGAAACTGTTGTGCGTGAAAAACCCAGCAACGTTGCAGTTCTTGACACAAATCAGTGCGCCTGGCACATACTACCATACCCAGTTCAAAGGCACTTACATCTTTCACCCACAAATCAGTGCGCCTGGCACATACTACCATACCCCGTTCAAAGGCACTTACATCTTTCACCCTCTGAATGTCACACATACACAATCCATGTCTCAATTGTCTCAAGGCTTAAACATCCTTCTTTAACTGGCCTCCTCCCCTTCATCTACACTGATTGAAGTGGATTTAACAGGTGACATCAATAAGTCACTATCATGGAAAGAGCAGGTGTCCTTAATGTTTTGTACACTCAGTGTAATCAGGCAGGGGTGAATCAAGTCCATGTAGAAAAATATTCTATATCTCACCCACTGATTCCACTCACTAGTACTGAAGGTGACAGAGTGGCATAATTGTGATCCCACTGGTCAAACTCATCGTAGCATAACTCAGGTGTTGCACCTGGACCAGATAACAGGCTAACATGAGGCAAGAATGATGGGGCTGCTTTTTATAACTACCTAGACCAGAGGTGAGGGACTAAAACAGATACATTCAGTAGCAGTATCTAATATCTCACAAAACACAATATGATCACAAGCCGATTTTTGCCCCATTCAGAGCCTGCAGCAGCCGTTGGGGTAATTTTGAAAGGTTTCCATGAGGCATTCCTACATGCTTTGATCCTTTAGTTGATTAATACGACTTCAAACACTGAATTATAAAGCTCTCAGCATGTTTGTACTGTAGGCTACTGATAGAACTAAGTACACAACATATAGAATTGCTTGATCAAAGAAAAATAGTCTGCTACAACAGCCTTGTTGTGTGGAGCCTCTTTTCATATGGGGCAGTGTGTTTAGCAATACACTATATATACAAAAGTATGTGGACACCCCTTCAAATTAGTGGATTTGGCTATTTCAACCACACCCGTTGCTGACAGGTGTATAAAATCGAGCACACAGCCATGCAATCTCCATAGACAAACATTGGCAGCAGAATGGCCTTACTGAAGAACTCAGTGACGTTCAACGTGACACCGTCATAGGATGCCACCTTTCCAACAAGTCAGTTGGTCAAATTTCTGCCCTGTTAGCGCTGCCCCGGATAACTGTAAGTACTGTTATTGTGAAGTGGAAACGTCTAGGAGCAACAACGGCTCAGCCGTGAAGTGGTAGGCCACACAAGCTCACAGAACGGGACCGCCGAGTGCTGAAGCGCGTAGCGCGTGAAAATCGTCTGTCTTCGGTTGCAACACTCACTATCGAGTTCCAAACTGCCTCTGGAAGCAACGTCAGCACAATAAATGTTTGTCGGGAGCTTCATGAAATGGGTTTCCATGGCCGAGCAGCAGCACACAAGCCTAAGATCACCATGCGCAATGCCAAGTGTCGGCTGGAGTGGTGTAAAGCTCGCCGTCATTGGACTCTGAAGCAGTGGAAACACGTTCTCTGGAGTGATGAATCATGCTTCACCATCTGGCAGTCCAACGGACAAATTTGGGTTTGGCGGATGCCAGGAGAACGCTACCTGCCCGAATGCATAGTGCCAACTGTAAAGTTAGGTGGAGGAAGAATATTGGTCTGGGGCTGTTCTTCATTGTTCGGATAGGCCCCTTAGTTCCAGTGAAGGGAAATCTTAACGCTACAGCATACAATTACATTCTAGATGATTCTGTGCTTCCAACTTCATGGCAACAGTTTGGGGAAGGCCCTTTCCTGTTTCAGCATGACAATGCCCCCATGCACAAAGCAAGGTCCATACAGAAATAGTTTGTCGAAATC